CACATTAAGTTTCTGATGATTTCATTGTTTTAGGGTATATATTGACCAATCAGAGCACATTAAGTTCCTGATTTTTTAATTGTGTAAGTTATACAGTTGGTGGTCAGAATGTACATTCATTAAACAAGACAGTAATGTTATAGTAAAAGTAGATCTGGAAAATCATTAACAATCTTTTTAGTTATTGTGTGTTAAATGGACATAACAATATACAAAAATATAAATAAAGGTACATAAAAATATATACTATCATGATATAACAGTTTTGAGCACTGGTAATGCACTGGGTAATGCTGAACAGTTAAAAAATTATGTCATCAAAAGTCACATGACTTTCTTCATTTTAGTCACACGATCATCTACATGTTAGTCATGTAAAATTTTACACATGATGTCACATGTTATATGACTACTGCAAATTTGTATATTTACAACTATATATGGTGTTTAAAATTAAATAGACTATCTTTTCAGGTAAATATCTTCCATGAACAGATGATATTGTATGCACACCTTATTCATCTTACTTCTGACAAATAATAATGGTATAACGGCAAATTTTCATGTTTTACAGTAATCACATGACATATCCAATTCTTTGCTTATAAACAGCTTTCTCTATAGATTAAAACTGAGAAATGTTTACCCTGGTTTGTACAAAAAAAATCCATAATTAACTAGTGGGTATTGTTTTTTTAACAAAAAACACATGTCTCCCCTTCTTTAACAACATTAACAAATGCAGTTTTACTATGAAGGTGAAAAAGAATAATGCAGTGCATCTTTCAAGTCTTTTATAGGATCTAAAGTTATTGTCTGGTCTTGCTTTTTTCTTAATTTAATCTTAAAAGAAGAAAATGGTCAAGGTAAAAAAAATTGATGTAGTGTATTTAGGCTTAAAGTTGTCTTAACTTGTTCCAAATAACAATCCTAATGTCAAGAAAGGTATCAAGTTATCAATTCAAATATATTTCATATGAACGTTTGACCTTGACCTAATAATAATTGGATCAAGGTCAAAAATTTTCATCACATAATCTCTCCATCTAAGTGTCCTCTGCATGTTACAAGTTTGAAGTCTAAATGTCAAAAGATTCTCAAGTTATGTTCAAAACAAAATTTTTTTTCTCTATTTGACCTTGGGTCAAGGTCAAAGTCCTTGTGCGCTAGATCTTGTATTTAATGTCTTCTTTCTATGTTACATGTTTGAAGTCCTAATATCAAAGGGTACTCAAGCTATGACCTAAACTCTATTTAGATGTGAAAATTTGACCTTGACCTAATAATATTGGATCAAGGTCATATAATATGATCACATAAACTTTCTCCAATGTGTCCTCTGCATGTTCCCAGTTTGAAGTCTAAATATCAAAGATATCTCAAGTAGTGGTCAAATCATGTTTTTCTATATTTGACCTTGAACAAAAAAAGGGTCAAGGTCAAAGTTCTTGTGCACTGCATCATGTATTTAATGTCTCCCTTCTATGTTTTAAGTTTGAAGTCCTAATATCAAATGGTATTCAAGCTATGGCCTAAACTCTATTTTGTTGTGAAAGTTTGACCTTGACCCTATAAACATTGGATCAAGGTCAAAAATTTTGATCACATACACCCTTCTCCTATGTGTCTTCTGCATATTCCAAGTTTGAAGTCTAAATGTCTAAGGTATCTAAAGTTATGTTAAAATCATGTTTTTTCTCTATTTGTTCTTGAACATAGAAAGGGGTCAAGGTCAAAGTTTAGGTGCACTACATCTTGTATTTAATGTCTTCTTTATATATTTCAAGTTTGAAGTCCTAATATTAAAGGGTACTCAAGCTATTGCCAAAACTCTATTTTAATGTAAAAGTTTGACCTTGACCTTATATATAGATCAAGGTCAAAAATTTTGGTGGCGGACACTCCGCCTCAAGGTCATCTATCTAAGTTCCAAGTATGAAGTCTTCAGGTCAAAGGGTATTCAAGTTACGGCCTGGACAAAATTTGGATGAAGAAGAAGAATAAGAATAACTAGAGCAAAGCTCGTTGCAAAGCAACGAGTAGGTCTTCCGTTCTGTTTTGACTGGAAGTGACGTCAACAAATGAAGGCAAATGAGCTAAATGGTCTCCATTGACTTTATAATTTTGATTTTGTATTTAAACCTTCAAAAATAAGCTATTTTTGGCTATTTCCGGTCACTTCCGGTTTGACCGGAAGTGATGTCAACGGACAAAAAATGAAGTTTTATGCTTCCAAATACATATGTTACCCAAAAATATGTCAAGAACGGCAAAAATATGCATATTCTGACGACTTCCGGTATGACCGGAAGTGACGTCTCCGGACGCATTTTGACGACTTCAATAGATTAAGCTTGACATTTTGAACAACTTTGCTTTTTAGACGTATAACAAATTCTCAATACTTTTTGAGATATAAATGAAAAAGTTTCGGCCCCTCTAGGCCCTTTATTTTAGGGGCCAGCCCTTTTTACGAGATATCATTTGAAAGATCATGTAATTCTACACTTCTTTTGTTCTATATGTCTTAACAAAATATTTGTATGTGAAAAGATATCGAAGAAAAGGTGTTAGAAATTTTAAAATTCTCGACATGCCCATTTTTGGACCATAGCGAGCGTCGGCGTGCAGCACTTCCGGTAAAAATGAAATGCGTATGTCACATCTACAGACATTGCTCTATCATTGCTCAAAAAACTCAAGTTTCTATCTTAAGCCGTTTTTGAGAAAACTCGCGGACAAACTGACCCCCTGAAAATCACTAAATCGCAAAAATCTCAAAACCGGAAGTGACGTCATCAAAACCAAAAATTATATATCAGATTTGTTTGATGCTTTATCAGTCCTGAAAGTTTCATGAAAATCGAGCGAGCCGTTTCTGAGAAATCGTGTACACAAAATCTGTAAGAAAAAAAACAATAAAAATAATAAAAATAGTGGAAAAGAAACCTAAGAATAACAAGAAGGTCTTCCGCTGAAGACGGAAGACCTTAATAAGAAGAACTAGAGCAAAGCTCGTTGCTAAGCAACGAGTAGGTCTTCCGTCATGTTTGACCGGAAGTGGCTTTCATTTTTAACAGAAATGAGAAATAACGTCCAAAAATGGTTTGATTCCTCTAAATCCATGTTAAATTATTGCAAAAATAAGCCATTTTCTGTTACTTCCGGTTTGACGGGAAGTGACGACGACGGACGGAAAATTAATTATAATGCTCCCAGAGACATATGTCACCAGAAAACTTGTCAAGAACGGCAAAAATACGCGTTTTCCGACTACTTCCGGTTTGACCGGAAGTGACGACGCCGGACGTATTTTGACGACTTCAATAGATTAAGCTTGACGTTTTGAACAATTTTGCTTCTTTGACGTATCACAAATTTTCAATACTTTTTGAGATATAAAGGAAAAACTTTCGGCCCCTCTAGGCCCCTGATTTAAGGGGCCAGCCCTTTTTTCGAGATATCATTTGAAAGACCTTCAAATTCTACACCTTTTTTGTTCTACATGCTTTAACAAAATATTTCTAGGTAAAAAGTTATCGTTGAAAAAGTGCTTAAAATTTTGAAATTCTTGATAGGACTATTTTCGGGCCATAGTGAGCGTCGGTGCTTCGTACTTCCGGTAGTTGTGATATACTTAGTGCACTTCTCCAAAAGTTGCTCTAAGCATCACTGAAAGTTTCAAACTTCTGTGTTAAGTGCTTTTTGAGTTAACTGCCGGACAAAGTGACCCTCTAAAAATCACTAAATCGCAGAAAACTCCGAACCGGAAGTGACGTCATCAAAATAAAAAAATATATATCTAGATTTTTTGATGTTCTATCAGACCTGAAAGTTTCATGAAAATCGATCGAGCCGTTCTCGAGAAATCGTGCGTACAAAATCGGTAAGAAAAAAAAACAATAATAACTAGAGCAAAGCTCGTTGCAAAGCAACGAGTAGGTCTTCCGTCATGTTTGACCGGAAGTGGCTTTCATTTTTAACAAAAATGAGAAATAACGTCCAAAAATGGTTTGATTCCTCTAAATCCATGTTAATTATTGCAAAAATAAGCAATTTTCTGCTACTTCCGGTTTGACCGGAAGTGACGACGACGGACGGGAAATTAATTTTAATGCTCCCAGAGACATATGTTACCAAAAAACTTGTCAAGAACGGCAAAAATACGCGTTTTCCGACTACTTCCGGTTTGACCGGAAGTGACGACGCCGGCCGTATTTTGACGACTTCAATAGATTAAGCTTGACATTTTAAACAACTTTGCTTCTTTGACGTATCACAAATTCTCAATACTTTTTGAGTTATAAAGGAAAAACTTTCGGCCCCTACAGGCCCCTGATTTAAGGGGCCAGCCCTTTTTTCGAGATGTCATTTGAAAGGTCTTGAAATTCTACACCTTTTTTGTTCTACATGCTTTAACAAAATATTTCTAGGTAAAAAATTATCGTTGAAAAGGTGCTTAAAATTTTGAAACTCTTAATAGGACTATTTTCGGGCCATAGCGAGCGTCGGCGCTTCGTACTTCCGGTAGTTGTGATATACTTAGTGCACTTCTCCAAAAGTTGCTCTAGCATCCACTGAAAATTTCAGGCTTCTGTGTTAAGTGCTTTTTGAGAAAACTGCCGGACAAAGTGACCCTCTAAAAATCACTAAATCGCAGAAAACTCCGAACCGGAAGTGACGTCATCAAAATAAAAAAATATATATCTAGATTTTTTGATGTTCTATCAGACCTTAAAGTTTCATGAAAATCGATCGAGCCGTTCTCGAGAAATCGCGCGCACAAAATCGGTAAGAAAAAAAAACAATAATAAAAATAGTGGAAAAGAAACCTAAGAAAAACAATAAGGTCTTCCGCTGAAGACGGAAGACCTTAATAAAAATAGTGGAAAAGAAACCTAAGAAAAACAAGACTTAGGTCTTCCGCTGAAGACGGAAGACCTTAATAAGAAAATCGACAAAAACAATATGTCTCCCCTTCGGAAGGGAAACATAATAATGGATCAATCTAATTAATGCACTTAAGGATCAGTCACCTATCAAGGTCATTGTCATAGCAACACACAACTAACGGATTTCTTTTTCCGCTGGAAGGCATTGGCTGCCATGATTACAGTGGCTACTTTTGCCGGGTTTTTATTGTCCTGTTTTGGATCTGGAGTTTCTAGCACAAATGCTTTAAAAAGATTTTTATCAATGTTCATTTCATGTGGGTCGCCCCCTTCTGCTGTGACCCGCTTTTCCTCCGCGATGAGATCTTTGGCCTCCTGGATTAGCTCGCTTTGGACATCAGGAGTTATGGGATGTGTGTGGATATGGATTATAGTTCCTAGCTTCACACGATTGGCTGAAATTACAGAAATTATCAAGTTCATGAGGTCGAAATATAAAGAAAGATAAACTGTTAAAATCATTATTAATATGATTGTTCTTAAATAAAGTTAATCATTCAAAAGATTTATAATATATTTATTAGTTTTTTTTTTCATATGTACATGCACACTGTACTGTAAAATACAATTTATTAGGGTTTATAGCAAGGTGCTAGGGAGGAACAAATTTTGATTTTATAAGGAATGAATTTAATAGCTGTATAAACTGTGAAACAGTTTATAAATACTGTAAACCAGCTTTTATTGGCGTGCAAGAAATTTTCGCGAAGTTCGCGACATCCAGATCATCGCGAATATTTCTCACCACAAACCGTACTGAAAGTCTCTCTGTCTATTTACAACAGATACAAAAAAGCTTGTTCGCGAAAATTAATCGTCGCCAACTGATTTACCCCTGATAAATCACGAAATAAAGTCATCGCGAATAAAAGTTGGTTTACAGTAAGTGTAAACTGTTCCAATTTAGATTATACTGTTTAATTTATAATACATGTAAGTAGTACTTCAGGTAGCAATTTCACAAGGCTTTGACAGAAGTATCTGGTCACATGACCTTATCACATGACTTACCACTCCTGGGAAGCATTATGATTGGATAAACTCCTCCTGGGGGCTCATAGATGACACGTGTCAGTACCACAGTCAGGTTTATACACAGATAACAGATTATAAGGCGGTCCTCCTGTTTCTTTAGTTCACTGTCAGGAAAAATCACTCCCCACCCTATCTTATCTCCAACAGAAACACTGGACTCAGCTGAAATAATAATAATATAGAGGTTGATTATGTCTCTTCTTCTACAGAGGTATATCTATTATACATAACAAAACATCTAGCACTCAAACATTGTCAGTGAGAATCACATATAATGTAATGCATCAGGTGTGAATTCAGGAATTTTTTTTTGAGGGGGCAAGGTAATATTTTAGTTGCTTGTTATTTTATTTTGAATTGTACTTTATACTTTAAAAATATAGGAAACATTAAAGGACTCTGTAAATTCAAAGTAAGGTCTGGACTTCCCATGTCCTCCCTAAATCTATTCATGGTTTCCTTTGTGTCTGTTTAAAATTAAAAACATTAACAAACCTGATCAAATTAGAGAAAAATGGTAACTAACACAAGTTATGGAACCAGTAAATCATCTATGTCTAGTCATTAATTCTTTAGTTTCCAGTAATGCTTATAAACATGACACATACAGTACTAATTCTTTAAACAGTGATATTGTGACAACTGTACTGTGTCCTCCTTACCTTCATCTACGGCAAGAAATCTGACGTAATCTTGTCTGAAATTGGAAGACGACCCGGGGGTAATATCCTGGGAGCACGGGGAGCTGAGGGCGATCCCTGGGGGTGGGGCACCTGCCTCCTTACCAAACTTATCCAGGATCTGTACCTCAAAGTAGTCGTAATCTACAATACATGAATTAAGAATGACAACTAGAAGTGTATTTAGGTGAGTGTCCAAACATGCTTAACTCAGGGATGAAAGATCATATGTAGTTAATGTAAAGATATGTACCAATGTGTACTAGTCGTAATTACATAAACATCGAACTTACTTCGAGTCAAAAGGTCATAGCGACATATTTATCAGAACTGATAATTGATATTTACTATAGGTTGTTATCAACACTTATTTGACTCGGGGTCAAAATGTCGTGGGGACTGTATAAGAACTAATAATAGGTATTTAGGTTGTTATCCACACTTACTTGACTCGGGGTCAAAAGGTCGTGGGGACTGTATAAGGATAGGTTCGTTGTGTTCCGGGGCTGTAAATATTCGGTTCTTCCTGTCAACAGTAACATCTTTAGGGTAACACCAGTCCTGAGGGTTATGCTGTAAAAAAAATGTAACACTGAGTTTACAAGATAAATGTTACACTGAGTTTACAAGAGAATTGTAACACTGAGTTTACAAGATAAATGTTACACTGAGTTTACAAGGGAATTGTAACACTGAGTTTACAAGATAAATGTTACACTGAGTTTTCAAGATAAATGTTACACTGAGTTTACAAGATAAATGTTACATTGAGTTTACAAGATAAATGTTACACTGAGTTTACAAGATAAATGTTACACTGACTTTACAAGATAAATGTTACACTGAGTTTACAAGATAAATGTTACATTCGGTGAACCAGATGACTTCAGTAATGGTGTACTTACTTCATGAAATGGCAGCTTTTCTAGGTACTAATGTACTTACTTCATTAAATGGCGACCCCTCTAAGTACTTATGTATTTACTTCATTAAATGGTGGCACCTCTAAGTTCTGATGTACTTACTTCATTAAATGGTGGCCCCTCTAAGTTCTGATGTACTTACTTCATTAAATGGTGGCCCCTCTAAGTTCTGATGTACTTACTTCATTAAATGGCGGCCCTTTTAAGTACTGGTTCTGCCAGAAGATGTCGATTTCCACGTCGTATCCGTTACCACACACAGCCACCGTCGGTAAAATCTGATCCTGGTCCAGGATGGTGACGTAACGCGTGTCGATCCCTCGCCAGTTCTTAGAAAACAGAGCGACAGGATGTTTTCTGCCAAAGTTTGACACCTCAACACCAACCATGTCACCTGAATAAAATACAGCAATGATACAACAGGTTCTACACCTCAACACCAACCATGTCACCTGAATAAAAAACAGCATATCACCTCAACAAAGTACAGTAATGAATGAGAGGTTCTACATCTCAAAGCAGACCAACTAAATGGAACAGAACAGAGTAAACAGGATAAATACCTCACACCCTTTCTGAGTCCCTTTCCATGCTGTCAACATTTTAGTTTTTACACCAGCTTTTAAACCCCTTATCTTACTGTTTTCTAGGCCTAAAATAAAAAAATGGTTTGTTTGCAGTTGCCGACCGACCCACTAAAAATGCACCCGACCCAAACTTTTTTTCAGCTGTTATTTGAGAACTTTTTTTGGAAGTTTCAAATTTTAAGGATGTTGAAACTTGTTGAATTTTTAATGTTAAATTTTAGTTTCTGTCGATAAGTGGCATAAAATAAGTAGACCTTTATTTACATGAAATAACCCTTTGAAAATCTATGGCTTGTAATCCAACAAAAACTTTATAACTAAAATCTGTAAAAAAAAAAAAAAAAAAAAAATCATACCTACCTACCGACCCACTCTAAAAATTATAGGTCGGCAACTGCAAACAAAGAATTTTTTAAGCTTGGCCCTACTCTTCTGCTTCTTACAAACATTTACCCTGTTTTTTTTTTTAATTATCTTCCAAGACATGACTGTGCTAAAGAGTTTATGCTATTTTTTTTTAATTTGCCACCTTTTAAATTTGCAATATTTTTGTGCCTAGGGCAGAAGGGGTAAAAATAAAATGGGGTGAATGTATCCCTGAAGAAGTGTCTTCTAATACTACCCTCTGGGTGCCTCACTGAATACTCACCCTCTCCAAATCTCTCCCCCTGTGAGTGCCCCTCGTGTTGTTTGTTGTAGTATAATTTCCCATCTCTGGAGCAGTACCCTGTAGACTCGGGGACCTTTCCTGGGTGCTTGTTGAGGGGGAATTTAGAGTCTGCCAGGCCTATTGTAAGTACTGAGTCCTCATCTGAATAAGATCAACAGGAAGGTAAAGATAAAGACATTGAGATTACAGGGAATTTAGAGTCAGCCAGCTTCATCTGCACGACATCAACACAAAAGGGTAAAGAAAAAAATAAAGACATAGAGATAACAAGGAGGGGAGAATTAAAGATGAAAATAAATCTACTGCTAGACAAATAGTTTATTTCTGATTTTATACATAAACTAAAACAGTAGTCAGTTATAATGTCTTACTGAGTTTTCTGATCTCTATTCAGAAGTAAGGGCTGCTCTAGTAATCTATATCTTACTAAGTTTCCTGATCTCTATAAAGACTCTAGTAATCTATGTCTTACTGAGTTTTCTGATCTCTATACAGAAGTAAGGGCTGCTCTAGTAATCTATATCTTACTAAGTTTCCTGATCTCTATAAAGACTCTAGTAATCTATGTCTTACTGAGTTTTCTGATCTCTATACAGAAGTAAGGGCTGCTCTAGTAATCTATATCTTACTAAGTTTCCTGATCTCTATAAAGACTCTAGTAATCTATATCTTACTGAGTTTTCTGATCTCTATATAGACTCTAGTTATCTATATCTTACTGAGTTTCCTGATCTCTATACAGAAGTAAGGGCTGCCCTTGGTCAGGGGTTGTCTGAACTGAATGAGGTGGATCCCCATGGCGTCTTTAGACAGACATACTCGACAGAACTGCTTACTCAGGTCCACCATAGCCGTCTGTTCATTGACCTCGATCTTCAACTGCTCCGACTTCCTGAACATCTCATGCTTCAGTTCTGTAAAGGTCAAGGTCATTTATCAGGAAAACACAAAGGTCAAGCTAGGGTATCAATCATTTTTAAAGAAATGTCTAGTTCAAAGAAATGTCTAGTTTAAAGAAAGTCTAGTTCAACTAACAATTAAAGTATAAATTCATACAAAAAGTCCTAATACTTATAAGCAGAAGTAACAAAAGTCCTTGATATTTTTTTTTCAGCTGTAATTGTCCCTCAGCCTGATTAATAAATACATGACACAGAGATTTATATATTTGTTAACTTGCGTCTTATCTACGTATACTCACGTCTTTTCAGACTGTCGTTAAACAGTAGTAAATATCTACCTAAGCTCATGTCTTTTCCGGCTGTCGTTAAACACTAGTAAATAAATACGTATACATGCACTCACGTCTTTTTAGACTGTCATTCAGCAGTAGTCTGTTAGCCTCCTCTAAATGCTCCTCAAACATCGGATCCAAGTTCTCATATGTCTCAATTTTACGATTCGTTGTCACGTCAACTGTTACCTTGGAACCTTGAAAAACGACAAAACATTCAAGGATTGAACATATCAAAAGTAGTTTTGAAGGAAGAGTTACCTTCCTTTAAAATAAGTGAAAACTTTACTGCTTAATTAGACAGATATAGTGAACATTTAAAAGTCACCATCTTTATTTATGACCACTATTTGAAAACTTGCTGTTTTGACAGAAATAGTGAGCATTACTAAGAACCACTATTTGATAACTAGCTGTTTTGACAGAAATAGCGAGTGTTTAAATCTCACTGTTTTTGTTTCAGACCATCATTTGATAACGAGCTGTTCATACAGAAATAGCGAGAGTTTAAATCTCACCATTTTTATTGAGGACCACTATTTTATAACTAGCTGTTTATACAGAAAAAGCAAGCATTTAAATCTCACCGTTTTTATTGAGGACCACTATTTTATAACTAGCTGTTTATACAGAAATAGTAAGCGTTTAAATCTCACCGTTTTTATTGAGGACCGCTATTTTATAACTAGCTGTTTATACAGAAATATACAGAAATAGTAAGCATTTAAATCTCACCGTTTTTATTTAGGACGACCATCGGGAAGAACCCCCCTTCTGGCTGTACGACGACTTTGGCGTACCCGATCTTGGTATCCAGGGTCACAAACACCAGGACCAGCTGCTGAGTTTTGTCGTCATGGTCCTGTTTTTCCCGTACGTCCCTGGGGTAGTGGACTCCTATCCCCACCCTCTGACCCTCAGATAGCTTTACATCTGAAACAGAAAGAGGTCATTCCATGAAATCCATTTTCTTTACATGATAAATTGATCTTTGAAAACTAGAACTATACCCTTATTGGATTCCCTACATGTATACCCTGCAGGGCAATTACAGATTTAAAGACCCTAAAAAAGAAATTTATCATCATGTAATTTTTATCCTGAAGACAATATGTTTTTATGATTTTTTTCATCTTTATTTAAATTTTCAACAATTTTAAATCAAATTTTGTGTCAGAAAAATGCAGAGCACAAGCTATCCTATCTATCAAATTTATATTTTTATGCACAAGTGTCCAATTCATCTTGCATATAAAAATCTCAGATAGGTAAGCTTGTGTTGTAAGTTTTCTGAACTGAAAAGTCAAATTCTACATAAAATTCTGTCTTAAATTGAGGAACTTTCCTAAAATGTTCCTGGACCACTTTGTTACTCTCTCATAGTCTACATGTATGACACTGAACTTAACACTGCCATCATTTAAAATTGTTAAATGCAAACTATCACAATTGTAACATTGTTTTGATTTTTCATTATTTCTTTATTTCATAAGGGTCAAATTCATTTTTTACCATATCTTGTTCTTTCCCTAATATAAATACAAACTGATTCACATTGTCTCTCCCAGGGCTGCTTTGAATATAACAAACTTCGAACCTACACCACATCAGCTGCAGGTTTCATAGTAATATTATTTTTCTGGCCAAGATGTTTTTTTGATTAGAAAAATTATCTTTAGCCTTTGGATATAAATCAAATGGAGATTTCCATGCCTTGCACATACCTGTACCAGATACATGGCTTCCTACTAGCTTTAGCTCGTGGGTTAACCCTTTAGCCCAATTGGTAGAGCACTCAGGTCTGGCAAGCCAGAGCCCTGGGTTCCATCCCCAGCAGAGACAATAAAATGTCTGTGATAGACTGTTACAAAGTGAAGAATTTGAATTTAGATGTACATTTATTTTCTTACTTTTCCCATCAGCAAACAGCCTGAAGAAGTCAACCAGAGCTTTACATGTGGGCGTTGGCTTCAGTAAACTACAGGTTGCTATGCCAACAGCTGGCCCTGCCCCTGACTCTGAGACTTTCTGGATCACGACTTCATAGTGTTCAAATTCTACGAAAGATTCCAATATACTAGAGTTTTATCATGACTTAATAGTGCTCAAATTCTACAAAAAATAAATCAAATATACTATTAGTTCTCAATCAACACCGAAAGGGTTTAATTTCTAAATATTATTAATAGCGTGTGTTATAGAGATTTGAACATCATGAATTTCTAACAGATTTAAAAAGAAAATTACACAATGTAAATAAAGTGAGATGATTTTATTGCTGAGCTTGATAAATTAACAAAGGACCACACACATGATATCAAACACAATGTACTGAACCTGTTCTTTATAATAATGAGTGAGATTTTGTGAAATGATCCCAGGACTTTGTGAGATTATATTGCCACTTCTACAAAGAGATGTTAGGCTCTGTGTACCGGGTACATGGAACCCTAGTTGTATTAGGACTTGGTGAGATTTTTTTATGAGATAATCTTGAGACTCGGAGAGATATTTACTTCTAAAGAGAGATGTGGGACTCTGTATTGTGCCCTGGTTTTGTTAGGACTTGGTGAGATTGTGTGAGATAATCTAGAGACTCATTGAGATATTCACCTCTGGAGAGAGATGTGGGTCTCTGTATTGTAATCTAGTTGTATTAGGACTTGGTGAGATTGTGTGAGATAATCTTGAGACTCGGTGAGATATTTACTTCTAAAGAGAGATGTGGGACTCTGTATTGTGCCCTGGTTTTGTTAGGACTTGGTGAGATTGTGTGAGATAATCTAGAGACTCGTTGAGATATTTACCTCTAGAGAGAGAAGTGGGACTCTGTATTGTACCCTGATTGTATTAAGTGAGATATTCACCTCTAGAGAGAGATTGGTGTAGTTGTATTGTGTGATATTTTGTGAGATAATCTAGAGACTCATTGAGATATTTACCTCTAGAGAGAGAAGTGGGACTCTGTATTGTGCCCTGGTTTTGTTAGGACTTGGTGAGATTGTGTGAGATAATCTAGAGACTCATTGAGATATTTACCTCTAGAGAGAGAAGTGGGACTCTGTATTGTGCCCTGGTTTTGTTAGGACTTGGTGAGATTGTGTGAGATAATCTAGAGACTCACTGAGATATTCACCTCTGGAGAGAGATGTGGGTCTCTGTATTGTAATCTAGTTGTATTAGGACTTGATGATATTTTGTGAGATAATCTAGAGACTCATTGAGATATTTACCTCTGGAGAGAGAAGTGGGACTCTGTATTGTACCCTGATTGTATTAAGTGAGATATTCACCTCTAGAGAGAGATGTGGGACTCTGTATTGTAATCTAGTTGTATTAGGACTTGGTGAGATTGTGTGAGATAATCTAGAGACTCATTGAGATATTTACCTCTAGAGAGAGAAGTGGGACTTGGTGCCCTGGTTTTGTTAGACTTGTGTTGTGTGAGATAATCTAGAGACTCGTTGAGATATTTACCTCTAGAGAGAGAAGTGGGACTCTGTATTGTACCCTGATTGTATTAAGTGAGATATTCACCTCTAGAGAGAGATGTGGGACTCTGTATTGTAATCTAGTTGTATTAGGACTTGGTGAGATTGTGTGAGATAATCTAGAGACTCGTTGAGATATTTACCTCTGGAGAGAGAAGTGGGGCTCTGTATTGTACCCTGGTTTTCCGTGTCTGGGTTGAAAACAAACATGTTGTCGGCCATATTGTAACTCACACCAGGGGAGGTAATCCACTGAATCATGTTTTTCTGTAAAGAGTTACTTCCCTTAGTACATATGTATTTTGCAAATAAAACGCATTTTTATTTCTGAAAATAATTTATCTTCTCAAATGAGTGTTTTTGTTAAACGTCACAGAAAAGGATATGATTTTGATACATTCCTGATTCATGTAAATCTGATGAATACTAAATATATTTACTGACATCTGAGAACTGGGGCTTCACCATCACCGCCTGGGGCCACATAATTCCAAGGTCAATCGGTCCATTCTCCAAGGTGATGGTTGGTAAAAACTTTTTATGGTCAGGTTCAAAATGTAACCTACAATATCAATAAATCAGTTAAAACAATCAAACAAAAAAAAACTAGGTTTTCCTTTTTTCACGTATCAGCATTAAAAATTATCATTCATGACTATAAATTATTAGGAATTATAAAAATTGAACTTAATCTAGAGGGTTTTGTTTCAGTGTCCTTTTACAGATTTTGTTGTCTAATAAACAAGGAAATTACACATTGTAGCTACAGGTTGTCAAATTAACAAAGAAATCCCACTTTGTAGCTACAAATTGTCTAATTAACAAAGAAATCCCACTTTGTAGCTACAAATTGTCTAATTAACAAAGAAATCCACCTTGTAGCTACAGGATATCTAATTAACAAAGAAATCCCACCTTGTAGCTACAGGTTGTCTATAATTAACAAAGAAATCCCACCTTGTAGCTACAGGTTGTCTATAATTAACAAAGAAATCCCACTTTGTAGCTACAGATTGTCTAATTAACAAAGAAATCCCACTTTGAAGCTACAAATTGTCTAATTAACAAAGAAATCTCACCTTGTAGCTACAGGTTGTCCGTTCTTAATAAAAATCACAGTGGACATCTGCTTTCCAAAATGGCTGACAAAAACTCCAAAGACATCACCTAAAATGGAAGAAAGGGAAGATGCTTTTCCAGAACAGTGGAGTTTTTAGACAATATTACATGTGAGGAAATTTGGTAATTAATTTGAGAATATGCTTACTATTTATGTTACAAAAATTTCCTTCTTTAATTGATGATATCAACTAAGTTTTATGATCATGCAACTGTACTAAGGAGATACTTCATAAGAAAAATTTAAAATATCACATTCCACATATTTCCTGCAACTGTGAACCAACCTATGCTGTACTTGGCTCCGTATGTGTTAGCAATTTCGTTGTGTGAGGTTCGACAGATGCCCTCACTACTGTATCCCACTGTGTTGATCCAGTGACCCGGCGTCCCGTCCTCAGCTATGTCAGGACCCGCGATCCCGATACTGATCTTACTGTTGTTAGCTACAATAAACAACATAGCTATATCAGGACCTGCTATCCCTATACTGATCTTACTGTTGTTAGCTACAATAAACAACATAGCTATGTCAGGACCTGCTATCACTATACTGATGTTACTGTTGTTAGCTACAATAAACAACATAGCTATGTCAGGACCCGCGATCCCGATACTGATCTTACTGTTGTTAGCTACAATAAACAACATAGCTATATCATTTCAGAATTTGATTTTGATAAGACTTATATAATAGCTTTATGCCTATTTCTAAGACAGATGACTGGAAAAGAACCGCCTCCCCCTGTCCAAAAAAAAATCATATATTTATTACACATGTATATATAGATGTTACAGTACCCTCTAAACTCATTACTAATACTTTAGTCAGTACCCCAACAAAGAGCTCATTTCTTAGCAATTTGAGACTCTTATACCTACGCAGAGCCCGTATCTGAGTGAAGAAGAATGGCTTGTCTGTGGTAAGTACCCCTTATACCTACACAGAGCCCGTATCTGAGCGAAGAAGAATGGCTTGTCTGTAATTAGTACCCCCTATACTTACACAGAGCTCGTATCTGAGCGAAGAAGAATGGCTTGTCTGTGGTCAGTGGCTCAAGACACTGTAAGAAGTTACTGGTCTCCGAGAACTGCTTCAGCTGGACGTCTGAGATCTGGCCAGGGATCGGGGGGTGGTCAGTGAAGAGGATGTCCCCCGCACATCTGAACTGACCAGGCATCGTCACCTACAATGTACAGCTAGAGACTAGAGTCACCTACAATGTACAGAGACTAAAATGATTGGTGAAGCTTTATATACTCAAAGAAACATATTTTTTAAAAAAGACTTTGTTTGTACTTTAATATTACTTATAAAATAAATTTCTTTTTGGAAAATCAGTAAGGTTCAAGCAACATTTTATATGAGTGTCAGCAGAGGGTTTATGAACCTTAATATTAACAATGATCGCACCACTACCCTTTGTGGACCTGAGACTCTCCGACATGTGACCTCTGTAATGGGTTTGCAGCAAGAATTTTGATATTCCAAGGATTATTTCAAATTAAAGTAATAGTTCTTAATCTATTCAATAGCGAGTGCAGTGAGCATCGCAAAGTGACGATAGTCACTGCAAGCTCTACCAACAGCGCTTGGGCAAAGAGAAAATTTAAACTACAGTAACTGTATGCACATTCATTCAAACAGATTTTTTTTTGCAGTTACTTTGGACCTACAATGCATCGTTTTGTACACGTAATGGTCGCACCCTCAACATATCAGTTCTTAGATAGAATGTTCTATCGTTAAAATGATATTGTCCTACGGACCCGGTTTAACGATAGAATTCGTTCCGTGTATTCGTAATGTAGCAGAAAGAAACACGGGCGATAACTCGCATAGTGCATTTACTAGGAACAATCTAGAGAGTTCCGAATGTAAACATGGAGGTAATTTGAATCGAGAGAAAAACGTTGAGAAAATGAATTGGATTTTCGTATTTAAATGGATTATTTTTTTGGGATAAAAGGCATAAGCAATCTCAAAAAGGTTTGTTATGATTAATTTGCAAGTTATTTTCAGTGCAAATCCGTTTGTATCCTTCAAAATCGTTTCGGTGCGATTCTGCAATTTTTTGCTACATTACGAGTATATGGGTGGTATTCTAACTGTGGTGAGGGCTTGTACCGAGACACAGTTAGATTATTCTAACTAATCAGTTCTTAATCTATTTAAAAAATATCCATCTTAAATGATTATGACAAACAGTGTAGACATTAAATTATAATGAAATAAGAACAAATGCGCTATTTCTCGTGCTTATCATTGTGATACACACTAGCCAACATTAGAAGTAAATGTATGACCCAATGGTAGACAGGGTGATCATTTGTATATCGTCATGGTTTTCCTTTCCCCACCCCACTAAGTCATGTGTGTAGAAAACATATACATGTGTACACTGATGGAAACACAGCTCCAACTTAATTATTCAAATATCTGACATATTTTAAACTTACCTGTTGTATTTCACTTTAGTTTAGATAATGTTGCCAGTCCACAATCTCTGTCACTTTCTGTCATAAAACAAAAGAAGTCCTCCTTTCGGCTCACTGCACATCATTGAGTAGACAATCTACCAACGTTCACGTGTGGATAAATCGTGAAGTCTGTCGCCGTATAACAAACTTACAGCAGCTGATAAAACGTTTTCACAGCAGGTTTTTGAACATTACTATCAGGTCATCTGTCTTTTGTCATTTTCATTACAATATTCGCCTATAACCTACCAAACACTTGTAAAAATAATCATGTTTATTGTTGCTACAATGCTACCGGAAGTAAATATCACAATAAATTTAGAACCAACCATAGAAGATATAATTCCGGAAAAGAATGAGGTCCCTGATAATAGTTTACATGGTTTAGTCGATCAGTGTTACAGAGACATTAGAAATTACGTAGTTATTTATCATATTTATATCTCTGGCATGCCATACTGTGACCAAGGCCTAGGAAATCGAGGAAGCAGGAGGGGGGGGGGGGGGTTCGGGGCGTGTCCCCCTCAATAGATTTGCCGATATACATGTGTGGTCAACCAAGGACAGCGTAAAACATATATAACTTCTTAATTTCTCCCATTAATATAATAATATTAAAATGGTCTGTTGACCGTATGTTGACAGGGAAGTAATCAAGTTTGGCTTGGTAGTGCCTCCCCCCTCCCTAAATGAAAATGTTGGGGTTCTTTGGCTGTTCCTTCCCACTTTTGCACCCAGTCTGGCAGTTTTCGAAATTTTGAGCAGATAAAAAGATTTTCGTATTTTTTAAATCGCAGATTTTTTGACAGCGAAGAATTTTTTTTGTTAAATCTTCAGGGAGCCCCCCCCCCCCCCCCCCTCTCCCCCCACCCACCACTCACTTCTGGACAGCTAAGGTTCTTTTTTATTTATTTATTCAATTCTTTTTTTTTTTTGGTCAGATCTTTTTGGGAGGAATCCCCCAACCACTCTCCACCCACTTTTGAACAGAGCGATTTTCTTGGTCAGATGTTTAATTTTAGGAGGTCAATTACCTCCTTTTGAAACCGTTGCTTCGGTTACAGATGTACCCCCCAGATAAGGATCGAGAAGTGAAGTTGGCCATATTTGTTATTTGTAATTAACGTATTATATAGACCCCGCTCCACGCTAGTCACCCCTTCCAAACTAGAATTCCTAGATCCACCCGCAGAACTTGTGTTAATCCACGTATCGTTAAACCCATTTTAAAAATACTTTTAATTTGAAAAGTCGCTTTTCTATAATGCATTGATGGTATTTAATGCAGTTTAGATTGTTGTATTTTCAAGGTTTTGACAGTATTGTTAAGATTTTAATCCAGATAGCTTTTTTTAAAAATGGAAAGTGACACCGACCTGGAACAGAGTCTGGTCGATTCGGGTCATATGATCTCTTTACGGTCCATATTCCTAAACGTTAAAACTTTTGTCTTAGATAAACAATGCAAAATAAAAAAATCTCTGTATGAGAGAATATTGGATAGAAATGGGGGGAGGGGGGGGGGGGCAAAATATATAAATAGTCATTCTCCCTCTTTTATTCTATTGCTGTTTTTAAAATGTTGGATTTTTTTATATCCAGTCTGTAGAGAATTGAAAGAAAAGAGAGATGCATGTACGTATGTAGAATGTATTGTCAACCGAAATTCAACCAAAACTGACGAAGACATATCCCTCTCCGTGCCCCGCCTAATGAGAAAAAAACCTCATGATTGTGTGAGAGAAACAAATGATGAGTGCTTTCTTGTGTCGGAAAAGACATACATAACCTACAAATATTCAGAAAAGAGGATTTATAAGATAAATGATCACGTGACAACAATAATGTGAGTATTATTATGTGTTTTATAAGGGAAGGTCGCGTGGGAGGACCTTCTGGGGAAAAGACAGAGGAAGAATGGGGTGTATGTGGTCAAGGAATAGAGGGTGCGTTGGATACGATCACATTCCCTTAAACAAAAAATCGAAAATGTCATTTTCAATACAAAATTAAATTGTTATAATCTTATTTTGGGTTTTATTTAATTAGTATACATGTACGTATTAATGAAAAGGACATTTATTTATTTTTTGTTTGTTTTTTTTATATAGAAATTGTTAATTGAAAGGGTATACATCTAAATCGGTATATAGTTTTAATCAAGGAAGATTGGAAGGGGTATTGATAAATCTAGAGTCCTGGGTGAAGGGAGGTAATTGGGACATTGATACTTTTAATTCTTGATTTATATAGAGATCTACCACATGTTATGACCTGTAGGTGTGTTTGTTTGTGAGATGTTGGGATTCAATTTCAAGGTGATATTTATATCTTTACCAGTCCTCACTCCACCCAATCCCTCCCTCCAACCAACATATACTCACACACACAAAATAATAAATAAATGAATAAATAAAGAAATAAATAAAGAAATAAATAAATAAATAAATAGATAAATAAAAGAGAAACGCTTGATTTTTACTGCATTGATAATTTAAGTTCACTTGTGGATCGCGATTAAAAAACTCGTACAAATATTTTGTATTGTTGTCGATCCCTATGAATATGGTGAATGGACTGAATGTAACGCTGTTTAACACACAATGGGATATTTCACGATTTTGACGATCTGCAGAAAACAACTGTAGTATAAATGTAAGAGAAAGAGAGATGGTGGGTGGAGAAAGAGAGATGGTGGGTGGGTGGTGAGGTACCATCTAACTGTATGAATTAATTGTCTTGTATACCATGACAGTAAATAAAAAGGGCTATTATAAATGTTTAGAGTACAAAGTTTTTGCAATAATTAGCTTCCCATGCAGCTTTCATTGTGAGCGAGAGAAAGAGAGAGAGATCGAGAGATTTAAAAGTGAATGGGGCCATTAAAATGATTAAAGTAGAAATTCAGATATTGAATATTTTCCAATGAACATTATTTTATAAATAGTTCATATACTGACATCATGAATGATTAACTATGGAATAGATACCACAAACAGAGAATTCAATGGACGAGGCGGTTTTCTTACAGGTCATTATACCGTTATATTCCCCTAGCCCCGCCTCCCCGGTCTATCTACAATACACAGGAACAATACCGTGTATCGGGGTCGATTTCATGCCAGCGAGAATTAAACAGAAACGAACTTTTAATTTTCATAAAAATTCATTAGCTGTATAAACACCCGGCCTTTTAACGCGGGGATTAAGTATCGGTCGTGAAGTGTATAGACTCTGGTTCATTGAGGATCGAGGGTCGGTGGAGAGGTCCTCATACTGGATTATGTCCCCTGTAATACCTGGACGAGAGAGAGAGACATGCAAAATAGATCCCAGAGTATCGTGTTTTACTTCTGACCAGAGAGTCGTGTTTTACTTCTGACAGGGGATCGATAGAGTCTCGGATTTGTGGCCATCAATAACTGAAGAGATTTGTTCGGATTCGCCGAGTGTCCATTGCCAGGGAAACAGACAAACGTACAGACAAAGATACTCAAACTATACAGACAGACAGACGAACTTATAACCAGAGTTTTTGTTTTGGAAAGATGTTTGGAAATTTTATTAACGTATACCGGCTGGAGGACTCCGAGATAGGGGAACGTGATGTGTGAGAAAGTTCGTGGATTAATTGTAACACCTGGGGAATAATTAATTAAGGTAAAATCGGGGTGACGCTTTGTCTATATACTTATTCATTACAATGTAACACCAGACTTTTATAAACAATTAGGACTGTGTATTCAGACCCTTGGAATTAAAATCTTTAGATGAGAAGTTAGCGGTGTGTTATATGAGCAGTAAGCGGCTTATGGTTGTATAGACATAGCGGATTATAGCTACTGTTTATTAATCAATTTAGATTGAACAACCTGGAGATGTAATTCCTAAAATAAATAAAACATTTATTACAAAGTTAAGACTCGGTGGAATAACGGATTCAACTTTATTTCACCATTTTTATTTCTACTAGATTCAACGAACACTTTCCCAGCTTTTTTAACTGGTTCCTTTAAAATCTCCTTAAGAGTGTCGATTATTGAAAATCAAGACTTTTAGAACTTATATTCTTCTAAAAGTAATCATTTTCAAAGAGATTAAAAATTCATTTTCTTATTTTTATAAGAGATAATTGTTTCCATTAATTTTAAAAAATGTCATGTATGTTTGAACAAGCACTTCTGAATCTATAGTCTTGGAAGTGGGATTATTTGTGTACAAAAATACGGCCAACTAGAAACAAAAATCGATTTTCAATGAAAACATAAATAAGAGTGACTTTGTTCATTAAAATACTAGACTTTCTCTGTATTGATCAGATCAATATACGTTCTACATTACAGCTTAAATTAGGGCTACATGAATGTTAAATAAAAAAAAAACTTATCGGAGACGGACAAAAATTTTAGCCCCGTGTCAAAAATACGAGATGAGGGTGGTGGGGGGGGGGGGGAGGTGGTAGCTTGTTAAACTGAACACTCGAGGGATTATTTTTCTAATACGTCAAACAAGCTAGGTAGAAAATCCTAACGTAAACTTTAATTATGTTGAAGATGTGTTTTGCTGTGGAAATACTTAAGCAGCGCGCACTCCGGATAACAACTATCGATCTAGGCAACACAAATGTCAAACAGAAGTCGTATAACATAGCATGATTAGGTGTAGGCAAGGATTCCAGGGTACAGTAGATATATGTATTAGAGTTTAATTTTATGAAAATCAGTAAGCCCTGCAAAATATAGAATTGGTTAGCGGAGAGAGAGAGAGAGAGAGATTCTCTTTGTGTGAGGTGACAGTCCTTAGCGTAAGAATTCGCTGACTGGAATTTACCTGGGATTAAAATTCAATATAACAATGGTTTTAATTTCACGAATCATCCCCTATCGGTATTGATTCTAACCTAGTATAAATCCTACATCGATATATGTCAGAATACCGCTTTCTATTCCAATAATAAAATTTGCGGTCTTTGAAATTCAATAATCTTCCTGCATAATTATTACCGTTAAAGGTTGACGGAGGCCGACGTACTGTGAACAGACAAAAAAAGTAAATCACTCTTTTTCGTACATAAAACCAGCTTCAATGAAAAAGAATCTCCCCTCAGACAACAGATGATAAAAAAAATAATTTACTACATGTACATAAACAACCGAATACGAAAGGAGCAATTTAACTTACTGTCTGTCTAAAATACACGATACATATCTTTAGCACTATAAAAAGCAGGGTTTTTATAATAAATGGGTACATACCGTGCTCCTGACTTTGACCTCTGACCTATACTGTGGTGTCTTTCTATGCTTATTTTTCAGACCGATTTCGGTCCGAGTTCAAGATTAGCGACCTACAAATGTATTTTTACAAGATCAGAGTAAATAGTCAAATAATTCTGTCTATCATAAAAATATCTAGAATTATAATTCCCTTGACCTTATTTCTAACCTTTGACCTTCGTTCATAAAAAAGATCCTCCTTTGTCGTGCGAACCATAAAGAAGTATTTTGATAGTGAATTCAATGTAGTTTAAGCTGAGCCATTTATCATGATTAAAAAAACAACAAAAATGCTCTTCTACATTTTCCGACAGGAATGTGGTCGGGCTTTTCTAGAGCATGCAAAATTCTCGTAATGAACATGTCCAATAATCCTGGCGCGTCCATTTCGAGCTGATTTTTATCTTACACCTGATCACATTTAAAAACAATCCTATCAAACTAATCCTCTGTTTGCACCTTAAAATTTTAAATTTGGAAGCTCACCATTTTAAGAATATTACTGCACGATAATCACGTTAATTATTTTACGAACAATTTTGCGAAAGTTTATTTGTGTTTTTGATTATTTTAGGTCTGTTGGTGTTTATTTGTGTTTTTGATTGTTTTAGGTCTGATGGTTTTTATTTGTTTTTGATTGTTTTAGATCTGTTTGTGTTTATTTGTGTTTTTGATAATTTTAGGTCTGTTGGTGTTAGACAGGACTCGTCAAGTAACGTCGAAGTCTTGGGTGTCCCGGTGTCTCGTGGCCAGGCTTTGTTGACCACCCCGGACTACCTGTACCAGAACACTGGATCTTCCGCCCCAGTACTTTTGGACTACGATCGCTTTGTGTCTAATGTGGAAGATAAAATAATGACAGACCAGGACTCGGCCCGCTCTAAGTACGATGCGGCGTACCTTTTGTACAAGAGCAACCCTGCTATGTTCGAAAATATTCCGGACTTTACAAATCCTAGAAATGTGTACTCACTGATCAGCAAACGGCGCACCAAATCGTATGATGACGTATCAACTGTGTCAAGGTCAGTCGATTCTGTGACGTCAGGTTTCCCGCGCATTTCTCGCACGACGAGCATGCGCGATCTCCGGCGGGCTGCTGGGTTGCGCACTGTATCTCGGAAGGGTCGCCATCACAGCAGTCAGGATCTCAGTTCTCTGACTCTAAAGGAACGAAAAGACCCGAGCATCACCGCGCTCTTCATCAACGCCCCCTACCTCAATCTCAAAGACCTTGGACATCTACCGGAAGCAGATGTACCAAGAGCGACTCGAACAGTATTTCCCGCTATCTCATCGAAAAACCGCGCTCTGAAAAAAGTTCCACCATTCAAACTGTCAGATGAAGACAACAGTTTCTCTCTTCCGCGTATCCCATCGGATCTCGGGGAGACGTTAGCATATGGAACTAACGGGGAGGAGCGTGCTGACGTCATCAAGAAGCGGATTATCCATCACGAAGGTAACTCTTCGGTTACAGTGGAAAATAAACTAAACAAGTGGTTCTCAGAAATGCCTGCTGACATAAAAGAGAAAGCAGACAATTTGGCCAATGAAGAAGAAACTCGACAAAGTGAATGTGACTCTGTTCAGAAAAAAATTTCCAGAAAATCTCCCAAGGAGCGATTGCACTTACCCGTGCTTAAACCACTAAACACAATACCCAACCAATTTCTGGAACTCAGAGAAAATGTGACTCGGCCCATCAGACGTGACGTCACAATCGACAGAGAACAGTACAAACTGAAACAACGTTCCATGCTGCAGCTGAAAATGTTGGACATGGACGAAAATACGCGTCCCGAGCGTCAAAGGACGCAAACGGAAAACGAAGTGCAAGTGTACCCATATAACGCTGAAAAATTTCATCCCCAAGAACAGAAAACTACACTAAAGGACCTTGTTAACGCCAGAAAACAGGACGGTGACGGAGTTAAGATTGTGAGCATTGACGAGTTTGCAGTGGAGGCTTATGAAATTCACCCAAACGACAAGTTTAACTTTGCCAAACAATCCAACGATATTCAGCCGGGAACATCGGCCTTATCCCGGGCACGGACGTCCATGGATTTATCGACGAGACAGCGGAACAGTCTTTATAACACGCCCTCCTTAAGTTTTTACCAAGACGAACATACTGAGAAAAGGGCCAAACTGTGTGACCAACCGCTCAATCGAGCTCTCACCGTGGTGAAGATCGAAAAACCAAGGGAAGGTACCAAGAGCGACCTCACTGGTCCAGAAAACAGGGAACTGGCATCCTCAGGTAATTACTGATGAACCTCTGAAAAATAAAATGCTTGAGCTTTATCTTTTGATTGAAATGTATGCTTTATTACCATTGCTTTTTTATCACCACAGGGTCCCATTCCTCGGTGAGCATCAGGAACGGACGAAGCGCCAGACCACCTTCAAGGAGCACGAGCGTAGAACAAACCAGAACAGAGGCTAAAAAGGAGCTGCTGAAATTTAAGAGACTAGACGTGTTTGGAGATGGCATTCCCCCAGTGTCGGCGCACGTGGCCGTAGTAGATAAACCACTTGTGAAGTTGGACCTGCGTCGGTCGCCCCCTCAGTGGCATAGATCCGCAGAAACATTTCCAAATCCTCCGCTCCCATTGATTCACCGCGACATAAAAACGGAACTCCCAGCAATGACGTTTCAGTTTTCTACTGGTGAAGTAATTATCTCCAGAAACGCGGCAAATACTTTGAGTCCCCCACGTGATCATCAACGTCACAGTTTTTATCCAAGTCGAGGCCCTCTTAAACATTCAAGTTCTACCACACCTACTCTCCCGCGTTCCGAATCGTCCTCGGTGCCGGTTGAGAAGATGAATCAGCCCCCAGCAAGGTCAGTCTCAGACGACGCTTCAACCGACTGTACCATGACGCCTGACTTTCGGAACATCTCGGAGTTCAACCTAACGGGACGAGGAAGACCACGGGGACGCCTGTGGGACTTTGATGGCGACGTTCCTCACCCAGAGAGTCTGCTCGGATCCAGGAAAAACACAATAGAGGAAATTCCAGAGGAGACAATGGACGAGCTCTCCCCCGACCCCCCGGTATCTAAAACCCCGAAGGAAATGAAGGGGCCCGCCATCTCTGACAATCCACCAGCAAACTCCCCCAAACATAGTCCGAACACTACGCCATCAGATCAAGTTCCCTCTCCTGTAGAACTAAAAGTACAAGCAAAGGAAATGAAAACGTCTGAAGAAGTAAATAATTTACCGTCTGAATCACCATGCAAGGATTCAGCGGATCCAAACATTAAAAGCGAGACAAAACCGACGTCTTCTTCACCAACAATGAAAGGAGACAAAAAGGAAGAGAAAATTGGAGAAAAGGAAGATGTACAAGAGCTGAAGGAAGGGGGAAAAGCTGAAGAGGGGATCAATAAAGTGAAGGAAGATGTGACAGCGGAAGTGGGAGATAACAAATCCAAGAGAGATGTCGCAACGTCAGCGACGTCATTAATTGAGGCGAACGCTAAACGGCAGGCTGCCAGCAGCAAGAACACGGACCGGTCCACCGACTCCATCACTGAAGTGTTCGGGAAATAAAAAAACCGGACCTGTCTACCGACTCCATCACTGAAGAGTTCAGGAAATAAAAACAAAGTCCTGAAGGACGTTAATCTTGGCGATTTAATCAACGTTATCCGTCCTTGTTATAAAAGTTGTTACAGTAGTATATTTGTTATACTATATCCGCATAGACGATATATTCCTTAAAAAAGGTTTTACGAACAATACATGATGAAAAGTGTTATTATGTACCGTATATACTAATATTCAAAATGAAATTTATGTCAACTTGTGCTGACCAATCATTGATCTAAGTCATCCATGAATGTTAAAAGCTTACACTGCAATGCAATACGGTGTGCCCTCTCAAATCCAGACTTAGTCTTTTCACCAATCAGCGTTTGTCTTTGTGATCACGTGATCATTTTTGTTATGTGTTTTTATGTGTTTTATATGTTTATAGAATAACTTGGTGCCAACGTTGTTGTTGAATAAATCATTTTTATCACACAGTACATGTACTAGTATATCAAAGTTTAACGTAGTTCGGCAACTCTAGATAATTTCATAAACTATCATGACTTTTGAAAAAAATATTGAAAATGTTCGCATTTTCTGAAACAACCCTCAAAGAAGCCAGTATAGTACTTTATAATTGTATAACTACCTATCATATAGATGGGAATATGGTATATTCATTATAACAGTTTTGTAAACCGAAATCTTGTCGATGTGATGTAAACTTCAAGCCCCCCGCTCTACTATCCCCAACCGGTTCATCATAAAACCATCAAAATACAAAAAGACTTTTTAATGTCACGGGGTATCAGCTAAAGACAAGGTCATTTGGACAAGTTCAAAGTGAATCATGACAAAGAATTATATATAAATCGATGAGAGCTCGTAGAATAGAAATAATTAAGGTCTTCCGTCCAACTTTTTGGTAAGAAGAGATGTGATTTTGACTGAGATACGTATTCCTTTAAAATGATATTGAATATGTAAAGTCTAACTTGTGTAAAGCAAGATGAGGATACCTCAAGGAATTTTTACAAAATTTGAAATCACAAAATTTCACCTAAATAAATACTAGTAACGTCACAACATTCGACTTTTCCGCAATTTATACTATAATTCCCCTCATTAAATTCAGGCTTCAGACTAGTAATTGGTCAAAAATTATTTTGTCAATTTAAGGTAGGATTCTTTCCATATTTCTTGTATTCAAAAGTTAATGAAATTTTCACAGAATCAATGACAAGATCACTAAGTGATTGTATCAGTGAAATTAAATTTGACCGTTTTATATAAGAGACAAGGTCAGGTCAAGGTCATGACCTTTTCCTGGATATAAATGATAAATAAGAGATGTTCGTAAAACACTTATGCCCCTCTCCCCCCAAATTGTAATTTTTCCAAGTCCAGAGGGGCATAACTCTGACAAAAATGGCGCGATCGTACCCAAAAGAGTACTTGACCTAGATATTTATCTGATAAATCTGTTTACCAAATTGTATTTCAGTATGTGTAACGGTTGTGGAAGAAAATGAATGGAAACTCAGTGGACTGATGGACTGACAGACAGCAGCAAAGCAATATGCCCTCCCTTCTTCGATGGGGGCTTAAAAATTACTGTTGCCGATTATGCGATCCTTACTTGTTTTTCAAAATACTGAATGTTTTTCTTCTTGCATAAAAAAAGATACAACCATAAAGGGTCTATAAGATGATATTACCAAATTGGTATACCCGGTAAATAATTTAACTAAAATGGATATTAGGTAATCTGAATTTTCTCTACTTTCCTTAAATTTTTGGGATATTAGTTATTTTTATATGCCTCCTATATTTAAAATTTTCTCATTTTCACATATGGTAAAGTTGAAACATAAAGATACAAAACAAAAAGTTTTGATCGTTTGCTAAGAGAGAAAAAATACTTTTCACGGATTTTGGTTCAAATCTGTATTCAGATTGGAAGCTTATAAAAGCTAACATAGTTCTAGTTTGTTTGGTAAATCATCTTTATTTGATATATTTAGGGACATCAGTCCCTTATTATTAACTACACTTACATTTGAAGAGTTCTTCAAGTCTTTGATTGTGTAAAAATTATAACTAATTTCATTGGTCTATAATAATTTTGAGAGCAGGCAGAAAAGAAGATATTTTCATACGCCATCATTCCTCCCAAAATATAGTCCTTGCTAGTTTTCAAACGCGGTTTACCATTTCTATTTAAAGTTGTAAAATTGTGAGGAAAGAAAAGTATGGTCTTTAAATCTCTTACACCTATATATATATATAAGACATATAAGCAAATGTACTCTGAATATTTCATCTAGCCAGAAACCAGAGAAGAATCCTACCTTAACAACATTCTGATTGTACACACAATTACTCTGGAGTTAATATTAAAAGTACTCAAGTTTCTGATTGACAATATTCTTCGACAATATTCATGTAACAGAAGGTTTTGAAAATCACGCCTTCCATTTGCAATTCCTATGGGTACCAATTATGCCCCGTTATTAGCAGATCTGTTTTTATTCTTTCATATAAAGCAGAATTTATTCAAAATCTTTTTGTAAAAGTATTGAGAAGAAATCACTTGCTGTAGCATTTTTAAAACATTCAGCGAAAAGTACAAAATCTACAATAAATTTAATTGAATGAAATACAGTGTATACAGAGATAATGAACTGTATTAAAAATGTTCAGAAAAGTACATATTCTTATATACTTTCATCTGAATCTAGATCAATGACTTGAACAACTCCTTGTTTCCTAATATGAGTGAAGTATATATTGAAATGGGTTAAAAATAAACATACTGGTTTTTTTTTGTTAGCTACAGGTATACTTGAATAGATCTTGAAGATCTTCAAGTATTTATTCTTCTTTTCATTGTTATAAACTCATTATTCAGTGTGTCAAAATTTAATCTCAATATTTGATATACATTTGAAAATTAACATTTAATGTCACCAACATGTTAAATGGAACATTTTCATTTGAATATGACTGTTTAATGCTCTATTGTAAACTGAATATACAATGTTTATATCTGCATCAAATAAAGAATTCATAATCAAAGATTCCCCATAACAAACAAGGCAAGCACATGATGAACAAATTGTAAGAAAATGATCTGTAATCTATTGTACGTGTATTTACTACAGAGGGCTTCATAATTTAGCTGCATTTAGCGGGACAGCAATGAGTTTAATTCATGAATACCACTGAGGATTCATTTCATAAATACAATACATGACATGGACATGTATAGCGCTAATTGATGATTCAGCAAGCAATTCTATACCTAGTAAATGAGCTAAATTTTAAATACATCAACAATTAATGTACATGAACAATATACATCTTAAGCTTCATATCAAAAGAAAGCAAACTCTGAGACAAATATATATATAAAAAAACAAAATACTGTAATCCATAACAGAATACATGAGACTGTAACTTATAACAAAACTAATGCCAGACCAGATGAGATCCACAAACATAAAGCTAGGACATTCAATATAATATACATGTACTAGATGTAATGACTAAGATAAATTAAAAAGAAAACACTAATTAAAATATCTTAAACAAAAAGCAAATTGGAAAACAGAAGGAAAAAAATCCCCAAACAGATTTAAAAACAGATAAAAAATACTATACTTCTGTGGGATGATTGCTATGGAATGCAATGCTAACAATCTGTGTACATGTATTGCATAAAATGTTTATAAAGTAGATAATTATGCATATGAGTGACTTATCTGTCTGCATAAATAAAACTTCTGAGATTCAGCTATGTACAAATGAAATTACAGACATTATAAATTAAATATGGCCTCAATTTTATTTTTTCATAACATCATTTTTTGGTCCAATTATAATAATCTCACTTCTCACAAATGATGTATATAAACCTGCACTCTTCTCTGATCCTAATATTTGTGTTTTTACATCAGTGTCTTTCCTTCTTTACTCAGTTGATTATTATGTTAGGACTCTCAGATCAGATATCAGTGTGTCTTTTTCTTCTTTGCTTGACTTTGGCCATCTACATCAGCTGTAACATAACACAAGGGACAAAAATAATAGAGTTTTAGATCACCTTGAAGTCTGATCATCTACATCAGCTGTAACATAACACAAGGGACAAAAATAATAGAGTTTTAGATCACCTTCAAGTCTGACCAGTAAGTTTTAAGTAGAACAAGCAAATTCAAAGAATTGTGGTCCCCCGCTTTCAGTGTTTTTTTGGGTGAGATGTCATTTTTTAATGACATTTTGTGTCTAATATAAACGCGCTATCATATGTCATCTATTTAGAAATTATCACTGAACTCCAAGGTCAATGTCAAAGGGTTACATTCTTAGTACCCAATGAAAAGTCTTCTCAGAAGGATTACATATGTGAAGTATGAAAGCCCTAGCCCTTACCATTCAAAAGTTATGGTCAAGGTTAGAGTTTTCTCATAAGTACAAAAAATCTCCAAGGTCAAGGTCAAAAGGTCAAGGCTGTTGAAATCAAATGAAAGGTCTTGCCACCAAGAATACATATGTGAAATATGAAAGTCCTGGTATCTACTGTTCAAAAGTTGTTGCCAAGGTCAATTTTTTTTGAAAAGTAGGTCAAACTCCAAGGTCAAGGTCCAAGGGGCAAAGTTTTTGGTATTTAAAGAAAGGTCTTCTCACATGAATTATATATATGAAGTATGAAAGCCCTAGTCCTTACCATTCAAAAGTTATGGTCAAGGTTAGTTTTTTTCATAAGTATGGAAATTTCCAAGGTCAAGGTCAAAAGGTCAAAGTTGTTGGTATCCAATAAAAGGTCTTGCAAACAATGAATACATATGTGAAATATGAAAGTCCTAGTACCTACCATTCAAAAGTTATGGCCAAAGTAAATTTTTGTGTAAAAGTGGGTCAAACTCCAAGGTCAAGGTCAATAGGTCAAATTTGGTGGTACCAAAACAAAGGTCTTGTCACAAGGAATACACCTATGAAATATGAAAGTCATAGCTCCACTAAATCAAAAGATATGGGCAAGGTTAAAGTTTTTGTGACGGACGGACAGACGAATGAGATTTAATGTCTCCTCGCTTTCGCAAAAGCAGGGGACAATAAAAAAAACAATGACCTTGTAATAATGAAAAATGAGTATATTAACCTGAGACCATATTTTATTGTTTTCCATTTTAATATTTGAAAAGAATATTGATACGCCTTCTTTGACACTAATGTACTGATTTGCTACTATGAATACCTGTTTTGTCCCGACCAATTTAACTGATGAATTGCTTTTTGATTGGCTAACTAAAGATAAATAGATACCTGTTTTGTCCCCACCCAATTTACCAGATAAGTGTTTTTGATTGGCTGAAATAAACTGACACGACACTTATCTGTTTTGTCACCACTCAGTTTATCAGTGAAGTGTTTTTTGATTTCATGGGTAGAATAAAAAGATACCTGTTTTGTCACCGCCCAGTTTACCAGTAAAGTGTTTTTTGATTAATGGGTAGAATAAATATATACCTGTTTTGTCATCGCCCAGTTTACCAGTGAAGTGTTTTTTGATTGAGTAGATACCTGTTTTGCCGTTGCCCAGTTTACCAGTGAAGTGTTTTTTAATTGGCTGCCAGCAGGTGAAGTATTTGTCATCCACTTTGTTTTCATTGGCCCATTTTGTTATTGCCATGCTGAGTGATGACTCAAACATGAAAGCCTGCAAGCAGAAAAAGGTAGAGTCAACTATATACAGTAAAACCCATTTAATCCAGCTGCTGTGTAATGTGTATATTAAAACAATCTGAACTCTAAGTCCCTTTCAGAAGATTCAATTTTTAGAACATTGTCTAAATAGATTAAATCATTTGTCCCCACAGCAACCATGTGAGGTTTATAATAATCACCATTGTCACCTAAATGACCCTCTAAAGTTAAAGCTAGCTACAGTAAAACCCGGTTATAACGAAGTCGCCGGGACCTGTGAAATTACTTTGCTATATCTGTAATTTGTTATACCCGTATAAAGAATTAGTTAAATTTATATCGCTGGGGATCCAAGATAACTTTGCTATATCAGTGAATTCGCAATATCCATGTTCCTACTAAACAAGTTTTACTGTATAAATCATTAACATAGTCCCCTTAGCGGCCCTCTAGGTATTAGCAAGCTATAAATCATTACCATAGTCCCCTCTGTGATCCTCTAAACATTTCATATAATTACCAATGTCCCTTCTGTGGCCCTCTTAATATTTCAGAAAATTACCATAGTCCCCTCTGCGACCCTCTGTGGTTGGAGTTCACAGTTGGAGGCTTTCTGGAAACAGTCGGCATCCGGACCGTGGGGGGTCATCATGCTGTGAAGCGTGGCACCACCTGGACGAAAGCCCTCCTCCTGAAATATTTCCCATAATTCAATGCAGTCAACTCCCAGCATTCAATATCTCTTTAAAAATATTGTACTCACTTTGCTCAATATTAAATAACTTATTTCATTATATTCAGACATTCTTAATTCAATATTTCTATGTTCATTATTGACATCAATTTGTTTAATTGATTACTTATATCAATGTGATCATTGTTTTGATTATATAAGAATATTAGAAATTGACCTTCGCCTCGTAAGACCCATAAATAAGGCCCATGAATTCACTCATACAGTTTCCTGGAAAAGAAATCATGAATATTAATCACTACGAAAGAATTATTTTGCTAATTGTAGAGAAATATTTCTTCAGTTGTGAAAAATTGATCGTTGTGGATTGATTTCAAACTGACAAATCGCGTATAAAAAATGACACAAAAAATAGTTCATTCACAGTTATTAAGATGATAATCTAACTTTGGTAGACAATAATTTAGATGATAATCTTACTGTGGTAGATGATGATTTAGATGATAATTTAGATTATAGTTTTACTGTGGTGGACAATGATTTAGATGATAATTTAGATGATAATTTTCTGTGGTATACAATGATTTAGATGATAATTTACATGAAAATCTTACTGTGGTTGACAATGATTTAGATGATAAATTAGATGATGATCTTACTTTGGTAGATGATAATTTAGATGAAAATCTTACTGTGGTAGACAATAATTTAGATAATAATCTTACTGATGATAATTTAAATGATAATCTTACTGTGGTAGATGATAATTTCGATGATGATTTAAATGATAATTTAGATGATAAGCTTACTGTGGTAGTAGGGTGGTCTGAACGTTTTGTCTGCCACGCCCCATCGAGGAGGAAAAATAACGAAATCTGCAATGGCCACGCCTGGCTTAGTGGATTGACACGTCAGTACGGTGAAAATGGAGGGATCCTAAAACAAAAGTCTCATATTATTAACCTTATGTTATAAATCTATCAGGACAGCACAAAGGAGGAATCCTAAAACATAATACTCATATTAACCTTATGTTATAAATCTATCAGGACAGCACAAAGGAGGAATCCTAAAACATAATACTCATATTAACCTTATGTTATCAAGCAATCACACAATCAATCAAAATCAGATAAAAAAAAACAATATTCATTATAATCTAATCAGGTTGTACCATGTGATCTACTGTCATTTTATTGATGGTGACAAAGCTGAAGTCTGAAAAAAATTCTTCACTTCAAACTACATGTTTTTGTTGTCGAAACATTATTTCTAATCTAAAGTTAAAGAAGGTAGCTATTTGTATGGTGTGTAAAGGTACACATAACTAAGTAGACTTGTTAATTATAAGTGTCATTAGAGTACGTACCATATGATCTACTGACACTGTATTGACAGTAACAAAATTACTGAGGTTGTACTTGTAGGGTGCATAATTCCCGTGCCAGGCCACCACATCAAACGGGGAATGGGTCTGAAAATCATAAAACAGAGAGTTATAGCTGACAGAACATGATTCTAACAATATGTAATACAACATGTAGCGGGTCAACTACTGACTCAGGGCTCTCAATTATAATAACCAGTGAAGCTGAAATTTACATTGAGTTTAGTACAGGTGACTCGCAGATTTATTTGTTGAGCTGAGAGCAGACGATTCTCGTATTTACCTGTTGAGTTTAGTACAAGAGGTATTACCTTTTCTTAAAGATGTGAATGGGTATTGCTAGTATGATCTATAGAGCTATGTACAATTATTTATCTATTAGGCTTAGAACAGGTGACCTTGGAATTTACCTGTTGAACTGAGTACAGGTGACCTTGGTACTGACCTGTTGAACTACGAACAAGTGACCTTGGTATTGACCTGTTGAGTTGAGAACAGGTGACATTGGTACTTGCCTGTTGAGCTGAGAACAGGTGACCTCGGTATTTACCTGTTGAGTACCTGATAATTACCTGTTGAGCTGAGAACAGGTGACCTTGGTATTTACTGATGACTGTGAATTCTTTGACTTCCTTATCTTCGTACCAGGCTATAGGTGTCTGGAAATCTCGTGGGTTAGCCAGCCCATTAGCTCCTATAAAAAACAGACAAAAGTATATTATCAAAAGGCTTATAAATCAAGGCAAGAGAAAAGTGGCATATTGTCATAATACTTTTTTTTTAGTTTAACATTTGTTAGTTTTACAGATACATGTATAACCATAACTGAGCTGTAAAATATGAATGAGCAGGCAGGGCTTTCAAATATGGTCCCTAAATCCCAGACAGATGCTCCACAGAAGGATGCTTGAGGCAAGATTGGATTAAATTGACCATGTAGTTCTTGAGAACCCAAAAAAATGTCAACATCAGACACATTTTGATCAGAAAATGTCCCTTGAGTCTTCAGCTCAGGTACAGTACAGACCGAACACAACCTAACAGAAAGCGAACCCGGAGCGGACCCCGGGTTCGCTCTCTGGGTCCACTTCGGGTTCGCTTTGGGTCCGCTAGGGCTGACCCAGAGCGAACCCAGAGCGCACCCAAAGCGAACCCGTAGCGGACCTCGAGCGAACCTGAAGCGGTCCCAGAGAGCCAACCCCAAATTCAGTAGCTGTCCCAGAGAGCGAACGTACGTTCGTTATTTCTTTAAAGAGCTGTCAATCAGTATTAGCGATTAACCAATCAGCGCATCAACCAATCAAAATAGCATACTGATCTGTCAATTGGTATAAAAGATTGAACGTGTTGATTTAATTCAATATAAACCCAAACACTGTACACAAGCAAAACGTGTATTATGCTAAAGTTACAGTGTAAATCTATTATGATAATTTTGATAATTAAAATATTATCTTATATTTATTTATTTTAATTCTCCGGGTTGTACATGTATGTCTCTCTCTCTGTCTCTCTCTCTCTCTCTTGGTCTTGTTTCCTGTATTTATTTATATTCAAATATTTAGAAATATGTTTTTAAAGATAATTTTCAATTTCATTAATGTGTGTGTGTGAAGTAGGGTGGGATATATTATATGCTTAGCGGGCTGGGAGAACAATTATTTGTCAAATTTATTTCATTCTGATTACAATCATACTCGCTCCATTGTTCTGAGCGTAAAAAAGGTCTGATTTCATTTTTTTAAATTGTCCTGTAAATATTTATTACGAACTTTTAATGTGTAACTACTATCATGAATGAAATCTAAATAGATCACGTGTACAAAAGGTTAATGTAATTTATAGATGCGTTTGCAAGTGAGTTAAGTCTACATATGGAGGTTTCTATGCAAAATATTAATTAAATTCCATAATTGCTCTATCTACCGCACAGAAAATGTTAAGACTTGTTTTCTTATACATTCTTGGTACCCACGACATGTGATAGCCAGTACACATTATGACGTCATATTATGACGTCATCAACCTCTACAACACAAGTTTATAAGAAACATCAACAAAATCGCTTCGGCGCAAGGGCATGCTTTTCTTTGTTTTACAGAAAAAAGGCATAAAAAGACGCAGGATATTCCAAGGATTTAAGATATTGCTGCACAAATGTCGGCACTGCAATTGTTTAGTTACTATTCGTGCAGTTTTAAGTTTAAACAGGGTAAAAATTCACAGTCCAATGTAAGTTTCTTAAAATTTTTATCAATTGAAAAAGTGCATAGGATTTGCGCAGCAATTTTAATAATTTTAAGAATATTTTCCTTAATATTATACATTGTTTATTTTAAATTAGATAGGACATGCCCTTGCGCCGACGTGATTTTGTTGATGTGATTTATTACCTTGAATGGGAGAGAACAATGACGTCATAATATGACGTCATAATGTGCACTTGCATTAATAAACTGTGGGTACTAAGTATGTATGTATGAGAAAATTAATTTGAACTTTCTCTGTACATAAAATGTTTAACTTATGAATTTTTATGAGCTCAATTGCTTTAGCCTTAACTCACTTGCGTTTGCAGAACTTAAGGAATAACAAATATAATTTTGAAGTATATAACGCAGGAATTTGAAAGGTATTTTGTTTAGATGCTAACTTCAGTTTCACTTGTGCCCATTCGATACACTGAAAATCAATTCAACACCTTTTTCTTCCTCTTCTGTTTTTGTTTTCACGTTATAACTTAAGAAAAATAAATGCCTAATAACCCGCTGTTAAATAACTTTGAATTTCTCAGGATCGAAATTCCAAGATCGAAAAAATCAAGGAAATCAATTATACATGTAAATCTATGTCAAATGTACAGTTTAATTTTGGAAAATTTATCAATGTTCTCCATAATGTCACTGTTCACATGTACAGTGTACATGTATCAATCGCCGCATAAACAACAATGATAGATCCACAATCCCATTACTGTATCGGAATATACAAGGGGCGGGACTTAGGGCTGCGAGATTAAAGCGGGGTCCGCGTCACGCATCAGTGCGTAAAGCAGTCCCAGAAAGCCAATGCCGGGTTCGCTCTAGCGGACCCAGAGCGAATGCGGAGCGAGCCTGGAGCACACCCAAAGCGCACCCAGAGCGGTCCCAAAATTTCTGAAAGCGAACCCGAAGCGGACCCCGAGCGAACCTGGGAAGCGAACCCGGGGTCCGCTTCAGGTTTGCTCTGGTGTTAGCTTGTGTTCGGTCGGTACTATATCTGAAAAATGATTGTATTACCTTATATAGGTATTACTTACCTATGGGCCCAAGGTTAGGGAGAGTAAAATGACCATCAAAAATCTCCAGAATATACCCCCTTGTGGGCCCCTCAACATCCACTTTGAACCGCATGCCTTGCTGAAAGGGCAACATTTCTTTTATAAGGTCAAAGTGTTTTCTGATTTTATTACCCTTCATTTGTTTATGTTAACAGTTGTGAAAAAAGTACAATTTTGTCATCGATTTTATTTTACATGATGTACATAAAACAAAGTTTTTATAGTTTTCCAAAATATAAAAATTATGAATATATTATAAACATTTGAAAGCAACAATGAGGGTTGGAAATTTTTATTTAACTGGGATCTGCTTTCACTTTCTCCAGTTCTGCATTGAATGAAGCTGTTATTCATTAAATCTAGGTCACGTACCTGTATGACACAAATTTCATTGGGGTCTACTTTCATTTTCCCAAACTCTGTTGTAATAAGAAGGGGGCCTTGTTGTGGAACTGAAAAAGAAAGTAAGCTGTGAAAGTTAAGGCAACGAAATGAAAGTAAGCCGTGAAAGTTAAGGCTACAAAATGAAAGTTAGCCATGAAAGCTAAGGCTACATAATGAAAGATTATTCTTTGTTTGTATGTGTATTTGTCTGTGCCTATGGTTCTTAGGAATCTGTAATAAATTGTATCATGTGTATTTTGATTATTTTGAAAAATAGTTTTTCATTAAATGCCCATTCTCCCTAGTTGTCTTTGTGGGTTTGCATGTATAAGAATGGGGGTTACTCACCTATAAGAAAGTCCCCATCTGAATTGTACAGGCAACTACAAATAATTGATCATTCAGGTTAAGTCGAGTATACATAACAAAAGTTGACTTTAAATAACTGGCTTACATGTATAAGAAAAATTTATGAATCCCTCAGAAACCTTTGCAATAAAATTGAAATACAGATGAAGAGGATCTTATAGTTCTTAGTTACAGTAGTGACTTTCTTATTACAGAGTTTACTGTCAATACATTGTAACCTTCATAGCTGAAGTTCAGTTTGTACTTACTCATTCTGAGATATTACATACCTGTCTGACATTGAGGTATTACAGGTGTATAAATACCTGTCTGACATTGAAGTATTACAGGTGTATAAATACCTGTTTGACATTGAAGTATTACAGGTGTATACATACCTGTTTGACATTGAAGTATTACAGGTGTATACATACCTGTCTGACATTGAAGTATTACAGGTGTATACATACCTGTTTGACATTGAAGTATTACAGGTGTATACATACCTGTCTGACATTGAGGTATTACAGGTGTATATATACCTGTTTGACATTGAGGTATTACAGGTGTATACATACCTGTCTGACATTGAGGTATTACAGGTGTATACATACCTGTCTGACATTGAAGTATTACAGGTGTATATATACCTGTTTGACATTGAAGTATTACAGGTGTATACATACCTGTTTGACTTGAAGTATTACAGGTGTATACATACGTGTTTGCGCAAGTGAGTTAAGGCTACATATGGAGGTTTCTATGCAAAATATCTAATTAAATTTCATTATTGCTCTACCTAACGCACAGAAAATGTTAAGACTTGTTTTATAATACATTCTTGGTACCCAGGACAAGCGATAGCCAGTACACATTATGACGTCATATTATGATGTCATCAACCTCTACTACACAAGTTTATAAGAAACATCAACAAAATTGCTTCGGCTCATGGGCATAATCTACTTTGTTTTACAGAAACAAGGTAGAAAAAGACGCGGGATATTCCAAGGATTTAAGATATTGCTGCACAAATGTCGGCACTGCAATTGTTTAGTTACTATTCATGCAGTTTTAAGTTTAAACAGGGTAAAAATTCACAGTCCAGTGTAAGTTTCCTAATATTTTTATCGATTAAGAAAGTTCATAGGATTTGTGCAGCAATTTTATTAATTTTAACAATATTCTCCTTGATATTATACATTGTTTATTTTGAATTAGATAGGTTATGCCCTTGCGCCGACGTGATTTTGTTGATGTGATTTATTACCTTGAATGGGAGAAAAATGACGTCATGATATGACGTCATAATGTGCACTTGCATTATTAAACTGTGGGTACTTAGTATGTATTAGAAAATCAATTTGATCTTTCTCTGTATATAAAATATACAAATAATGAATTTTTATTAGCTCATTTGCATAGAAATATTCATATTTAGCCTTAACTCACTTGCATGACATTGAAGTATTACAGGTGTATACATACCTGTCTGACATTGAGGTATTACAGGTGTATACATACCTGTCTGACATTGAGGTATTACAAGTGTATACTTACCTGTTTGACATTGAAGTATTACATGTGTATACATACCTGTCTGACATTGAAGTATTACAGGTGTATACATACCTGTCTGACATTGAAGTATTACAGGTGTATACATACCTGTTTAACATTGAAGTATTACAGGTGTATACATACCTGTTTAACATTGAAGTATTACAGGTGTATACATACCTGTCTGACATTGAAGTATTACAGGTGTATACATACCTGTCTGACATTGAAGTATTACAGGTGTATACTTACCTGTTTAACATTGAAGTATTACAGGTGTATACATACCTGTCTGACATTGAAGTATTACAGGTGTATACATACCTGTCTGACATTGAAGTATTACAGGTGTATACGTACGTGTTTGACATTGAAGTATTACAGGTGTATACATACCTGTCTGACATTGAAGTATTACAGGTGTATACATACCTTTTTAACATTGAAGTATTACAGGTGTATACATACCTGTTTGACATTGAAGTATTACAGGTGTATACATACCTGTCTGACATTGAAGTATTACAGGTGTATACATACCTGTCTGACATTGAAGTATTACAGGTGTATACATACCTGTTTGACATTGAAGTATTACAGGTGTATACATACCTTTTTAACATTGAAGTATTACAGGTGTATACATACCTGTTTGACATTGAGGTATTACAGGTGTGTACATACCTGTCTGACATTGAAGTATTACAGGTGTATACATATATAGATACACCGTGTCTAGTCCTGGGCTCCCCTGCTCCACAGATGGTAGTCAATCCCTGAATAAAGTTATGAATTCAAACATAATTAACATGGATATTGAAGACTTAAAAGATCGCCTCAGGTGGACATAAGTCGTTTACAAACTAAGTACGACAAAGTGTTGTCCAGTATTTTGTTGTTCTGTAGGAACAGTTAGCTAAACGTTTGTTGATCCCCAATTCTGCTCTTACATAATCAAAGCTGCGGAACTGTAGCGTAATGGTTTTACATATCAGTCTTTATCCGTAACTCTACAGATCCCTTGGTTCAAACCAGAAGTCTCTGTCGAGACTGAAGCTCTACCGGTTTGTACTTACATGTATAGGAAAGGAAGAGAAAAGTACTTAAGCAGTTGGAAATTGAAACTTTTCAACAGCAATAAATAGAATAATGATCCTTGATTAAGTCTCTTTATGTTCCTAGTGCAGTCTACTTGCATGCCACATTTATATTATAATCAGACTAAAATTGTATTTGGAGTAGCATTTTGAAAGAATTTCACAGAAATTTCTATTTTTAGTAACCACGGCAACACCGTTCATCGAAATCAAAAACCAATATACAGAATTATGTATCTTAGTGTAGTCTACTTGTGTGCCAAGTTATATTGAAATCAGACTTAAACTGTAGGAGGAGTAGCATTTTGAAAGAATTTCACAGAAATTTCTATTTTTAGTAACCACAGCAACACCGTTCATCGAAATCAAAAACCAATACATAGAATTATGTATCTTAGTGTAGTCTACTTGTGTGCCAAGTTATATTGAAATCAGACTAAAACTGTAGGAGGAGTAGCATTTTGAAAGAATTTCACAGAAATTTCTATTTTTAGTAACCACGGCAACACCGTTCATCGAAATCAAAAACCGATACACAGAATTATGTATCTTAGTGTAGTGTACTTGTGTGCCAAGTTATATTGAAGTCAGACCAAAACTGTAGGAGGAGTAGCATTTTGAAAAATTGTTTACAGACAGACAGACGGACGGACAGACAGACAGCTAGACAGACAGACAGACGGACGGACGACGGACGTATTACTATCGCATAAGCTCTTCTGGTCTCTGACCAGTAGAGCTAAAAAGGTGCAACGTTTACGGCACAAGATTTTCTGTGCACTGATGTGGAGAATTAATTTCTCTACCTTCCAGCATTGGTCAATCATCTACCTTTCATTCCTGAAATCTAGATACATTTTTGAACCAACACATACATTTTAAATACTTCCAAACCTTTTATAGAAGTCTCTACAGTCAGATTAACTCTCTTGTTCGATTTTTTATTCAGATGGCACAAATTTCAAGAGAAGCATCTTTGATTGGGCTTTAGAGATGAATATAAAGGGTTGGTAGATGGGAATTAAATAGTAGTTGATTGACCAATGCTGGAAAGAGTAGAAATTCACTCCAACAGTGCACAGAAAATCTTGCACCATAAATACCGCACCTTTTTCTTGAATTACGGGATCTGTAGCGTAATGGACTTGGACAAATAAAGCCATGATTTATGCTACAGTTCTGCAGCTAACCTAATCAGCACAATCATGCACATCTAGATAAATGGTAGGATTGTATCACTTATTTTATTGGTATTAAAAATCCCCTCTAGGTTCAGTAAATTTTGGTTTAAAGTCATATACAAAGATTTAAAATAATAATTAAAAATTATTATACAAACTTGGACGAAGTCCAGTTTCTTCTTTGGTAAGTCAAATGGATGCCACCTAATCTATACGAAAAGAATGAAAAACATTGATTGAAAATACAACATTCCATACAAAAGTCATGTATTTTATCAAGTTTGTTAGAATGTTACATTATAACATTAACAACAAACAATCAAAAGAAAAGCTGCACCACTTTTATTCGTGATGACTTTATTTCGCAATTTACTAGGGATAAACTAGTTGGTGATGATTAATTTTCAAGATCAAGTCTATTTTGGATCTCTTGTTAACAGACTTTAACTAGTCTGGTTCAAGGCGAGAAATATTTGCGATGACGAGGCTTTCGCAAACGTTGTGAAAATTTCTCGCATGAGAATAAAAGTTGTTTTACAGTATATAGATAAAGGCTGACTGTTAGAGTGATAAGTAAACTTAATTCAGTCTCACACTGCAGGAGGTAACATTGAAATCCATTTATAAATCATTTGAAGATGAGGGTGGGTGGGGTGTTTTATTGAGTATCGGACACTGACCTGATTTGGAATGGGGTCAGCTTCATCCCAGTTGTGTGTGATTAATCCTCGTTCCATCTTTTTGAACGGTTGATGTAAAACAGACGGACGGATTCTGTACAACCAGCTGTCAATCAGAAACAAGCAAGGGAAATTACTTACAAACAAACAAAGATGTCAGATCAGATGGGAAACAACAGATACAACAGCAATTACTTACAAACAAACAAAAAAAGATATCAGATCAGAGACAAAACAAGGGAAATTACTTACAAACAAACAAAACAAAGATGTCAGATCGGATTGAGCAAAACAAATGAAATTACTCACAGATGAACAAACAAAGATGTCAGAAGCAAAACAAATGAACCCACAAACAAACTTAAAAAGATGTAAAGATTTTCTCCCAGATACTAGCATCAGATATAAATTTAAAGTATAACTGCCTTCTAATGTTTATAAAGGGAAATTATTTTGGCATAAGAATCAACTTGACCTTTTCTATGATTTATTATGACCTTGACCTAAATAAGAGACAGTGCCCCACTTCCCCTAGCTCTGGAATACTGTACAGGTTATTTTAGCAGGACCGTGATATTTTTGGCTTGTTTTAGCAGTTATGTTTTAAGTTTCCATATTTGAACTTTTCAATTATCACTACTAATAACATAAATCAGCATTCAATGTAATTAAATGTATTGAAATTTATTAATAGATGAATTTTCTCCCTTTTGTAGTGCCTCTGTGTCCGTCAAAAAAAGTTCTGCCAAAATTATTGGGATCCCTTTGAGCAAGGAAATTTTACACCTGCTAAAGAAACCGACCAAACATGTTAATTGTTGGTGATTACGGCTATTTAGTTTATTTACCTTCTTTTGTTGGTTTCTCTCGGGGCTGTAAATGCGCTCCCTGACAACTGTTCTGCATAGAGTCCATACGGACATTTCTGGGGATTGTTCTAAAACATAAAAATCAAAATTTTAACACAATTTAAGTTAACAGCGGTCTTCAATATTTTTTAAATTCAATAAAAATATATATTTACTGCACTTAATAAGTTCAACTCTGGTATTTGGAAACTTGACATATTCCTGTTTACTCCAGGGGTAGCAGATTACAGGATTGGGGCATTTGGTAGCATTGTGAAATTACTCTTGCACTTGCAAATAATTTTGCCCCGTTTTAAATTCGCCCAGTCATAGTTCTGTTTAACAAATTATGCAGTGTAATTTTAATTCGCCCCGTTTGAAATTCGCCCAATCAAGAAGAGGGCGAAAGGGGCAAAAATTTCCCTATATACAGTACTATATATAAGGGCTGTGTTATAATCGAACAAAAAATTTGATACGATACAATATACGATATTGTTTGATAAATTTTTAAATCAGTGGCATCATATCAGAAGACTTACCTGTCCTACAGGTAGAGACCCTGGACATCTGGGATCCTCACTAGAAAACTCATTCCCAAATCCACTCATATACACTAGCTGAAAATTGAAAAATATATTTTATCTTATAGAGGAAGACATGGAGAAAATACTATATAAGTTTATAAAATTGTTCTTCTTTACCATATGCTTATAAAACCTTATATCAAATCTTTTTGAAAAATTAACACCTATTTAGAACTCTGACTTCTTGATTTAAAGGCATAAAGTTTGTACAAACCAAAATCTATAGCAGCCTGGTGACATTTATTTAATAACATGATTATACTAAGTGGTCGAGTCTTGCTTTGAAATGCAGCTAATTAATAAATGCCTGATTCAGTCTTAATCAAGGTAGCCATGGTAACTTTTGAGAATATGTGAGTTAACAGAAATCAATGTCTTTTGGACTTACTATGCATCACAAAGAAAATAAATACTGTAAACATGTCAAGCATGTTAAAGTAAGAAATATTTCATTTTATTTATTTCCCTGTTTACAGCTATGTCAAAATTAAATTCCACATGAAATATTTGTAACTATATAAAGAATACAGTTGCTATCGAAACAACGAAATTTAATGCCCATTAAACCTTTTTGGATGACAATCCATGGAAATTTTATAGGACCTACCCCGGGAATTTGTGCTTCTAGAATCTATATAGAGTATAGCTGTTATACATATTATTAAATCTACTTGAATTATAAAATCAGATGTTAACCTAGAATGTGTATATAATTTCATAAAAATTAAAGGATTTTTTTGTTGATGCATAAAATTATATACTGATGTGACATGTTAAAAAATAAAATGACAGACACACCCCTCAACTGACCAATCAGATTCAAGAAAAATGACACACCCCCTGGGACCTTTCCATTTGCAATTCTTTCAAAAATTACAGACGTTTGCGTGCTGTTGCTCATGTAATGAATTTAAATCCAAACCAATAATTATCATGAACAGTGATTGTGTACTGTCATTTCAGCATTATCGTGCCCGTATCACGATTACAACGTGTACGCGTGTCAAGGTCGTTTTAGTAACACTTTGAATTTGCGAAAACAAAGATGCCTTTTCAACCTAACAAATGCCACGGGTAATGCTAAATTTCTGAATCAAGATGATACGTTTTTTTCTATAGTATGCTTCATTTAAACATGTTTAAATATCACCCCGAATCATGAGGATTTCATGTACCTTTTCCATGTTGTTATTAAATCCGTGTAGTAGAAACGCTTTAAAATAATAAACATTTTAGTGATCAAGATTTTCGTAAATAATTTTACAAAGATATAAAAAAAGAACATTGACTGCATTTCCATTGTTGCCTTCAAAATGTATTTTGATACAACTCAGAAAAAACGTGTTTGTTAAACTATGTGAATTTTTCTTGGAATTCATAATTTGTATTTTTCGTTCACAAATAGACAAAAACTCCGAGAGAACCGAATAAAATAACCTTGACCTTCACTCCCACTTCGTCCAAAAAAGGAGGTCATAGTGGGAATTTGTTTTGAATTTTAACACACATACCCGTTACTGGATAATGGCCACGAGCAGGGAAGATTTACTCCAGCAGATGAAAACCTTACAGGTAGGGAACCTTGCACACTCTTTATTTCTTCAAAAGCATCGAAATTATCTGCAGAATCAAACAATAAATGGCCCAATGAGCATGCACGTTTGTTTGCCTGAGGCCATTTATAGCAGGTGAAACGCACGTCTGTGTGTCCGTATGTGAATCCAGTAAAGCTGTGGCGATGTCGCCCTCAACCAAAGGTAGAACGTCTAAATGTGGGGCTTTATAATCACTCTTGTTCTGGTAATCTGTGATTATTATAGATCAATAGAAATCTTGTCAGATCCTGGTGTTGACAGATGTGTTTCTGTTTCAGAGATGAAGGTGGTGTGTATTGTGGACAGCTGGGGCCGCGCGGTACCACCAGGTGGTGATCCAAAAGTCGCCGCCACAAGCTCGGGGACTCTACAGGAATCTCGGCTTCTCGCGCTGTGTGTCATCCAGAAAGTTTGTAAAAGGTGGGAAAATCACGAAACTAACCGAAAGTCTGTAAAAGGTGGGAAAATCATGAAACTAACTGAAAGTCTGTAAAAGGTGGGAAAATCACACGGAACTATCCGAAAGTTTGTAAAAGGTGGGACAAAATCACTGTTTATCAGAAAGTGTGTAAAAGGGAGTAAAATCAAACTGAATTTTCAGGAAGTTTGTCATGGAAGAAAGTTTGTAAAAGGTGGGAAAAATCACAGAATTATCAGAAAGTTTGTAAAAGGTGGGAAAGTCATGGAATTATCATACGTTATGAAAGTAAATAGATTTAAGTGGAATATATTAATAATATTGTAAGTTACCCGAGTAAGGAGATTGAAGTTAACCTGCTACTTCCTATTGATAATGATGCTTTCTATAAAGTAGGAAAAAATGCATGACTTAATTTTTACAATAGGCATCATGTTCAATATTCTTTCAGAATTTCGTAATCGTAGGGTTTTCAGGGCTCTCACACCACTTTTTGGGACTGGGGTTGGGGCCGTTCAAATTGGGAAAATTATTGTCATTTTGGGAAAAGTTGGATGACCAACATTCATTTAAAAAAATCCTCAAATTTTGCTTTTCTAGAATTATGTCATCAATTTAACTCTGGTTTTGAATAAACAGTTAAACAGAACAAACATGGCTACGTAGACTATTTTTGAGTGTACATTAGCTTTGTCATAACTATCTTTGAGTGTTGATAATTGCGGTTATTTGTCTTTCTGAGTAACAGTCGCTAGTCACATAGTCCCGAATTTCCTTGATCACATGGACATTGTTGCTTACCAATAGAGCGCGAGGCTGAACATGCCGAAGTGTGGGTATGTTTCTAGGTGTAGCTTACTAATGTTTAAATGAAATATCAATTTTTGAAACCCAAATGATGTTTTTGTCAATTTTCAAGACAAGATACTCTGCACTTATAGTTACACATTTTTATAAAAAAAATAACCTGGTTCTCCGAACCAGTCTACGAATGCATTTGGCGCGAAATAATTAATAATCTTACATTAAACTTGTTTGTTTCACTTTCATTTGCAAGTGTGTTTTGTTAGGGGTTTTTATGAGATTAAGTTTTGTGGACTTTTATTTTTTAATTAATATTTTGCTGTGGAAATTGGGAAATTTAAACCTTTCTTTTGGGAAAAAGGGTACCTTTTTATACGCCCGTCTTAAGACGGGACGTATTATGTTATAGGCTTCATGTTAATTTCCTTCCGTTGTTTTTTCTCGTGTCCGGCTCATAACTTGAATACTATAAGGCCTAGAGTTATCAAACTTTGTCAGCTGATACATCTTGGGTAGAATGTGTCACAAAACACTCTGACCTATAATTAAAAAGTTATAGCCAAATATAGAAAAATCCTGTCCGGTTCATAACTTGAAAACTATTAGACTTAGAATCATCAAACTTGGCCACTTCATGCATCTTAGGTAGAGGGTGTGTCGCGATCTATTTCAAGGTCACTGTGACCTTTAATTTAAGTGAAATTAAAAAAAAAATGTCTTTCTTTCTCTTCATTTACACATTCCAAAAAATGTAAAAGTATTGCACTATCCTTATTACAAAAATGTTAAATCAAGAAAAATACTTATTTTTTAAGCATATACTTGACAGCAATCTATAACAAATGTAATGTATGTTAAAGAAATTACACCACTCCCATGAGTTTAATTATCAAGCACTGGTCAAGAAGAATTTTGATAACAGAAAATTGCATGTCAAATTAGAGAGAGAACTTAATGAGTTTAGTGTGAGGAAGAGCATCGGTGCTATCTATATCCCTTGAGTATTGGGCCAAATGGGTAATCCTGTTGGATTAAAAATAGCTCTTGTTGGCTAGCATAAGTTTTAAAATGAATTTGATGAGAAGTTAATAAAACTAATTTGATTTTGCATAATAAACTGTTTTGATATTACATAAAATTATGAACTTAAAAAAACTAATTTTATGGGGGTGCGGTGGAATCGGCATGTCCATATGAATTGCATATTAAAACATGTGTGCCATTAAATCTAACAAAAAAAAAATCATTGAGGTTTTATATGTTTTAAAAATGCTTTATGGTAGATACTGCAGATCCAATAATCTCATGGGAGTAATGAGTAGACAAGGATCCAGTTAAAGATTAATTAATGTGTTCAATGTAGAAAGGCTATAGCTGTCTCAATTATTTCTTCAGAGCATTATCTTAACTGATAGTGTATCCTTTGGGAATTAGACAGAAGAACTTTTTGTCATTTTATATTTGATGGCCAGTGCGCCTTTCATTTTCAAAATTAATTAGGTATAGATTAAGTTAAGCCTAATTTGATATTGTTTAATATGATAGGCATTTGGCAAGGTCTAACACAACCAGTATAGAAATCTATGAATGATGCAATACATGTATATGTTATAATTAATGCCTACACCACAGGAGATGGATAAACAAATTTTTTAAGGAGTTGAAAAATCATGGAAATCTAAAATCAAGGTTGACATGATTTTCTTGCACTTTTGAAAGATTTGTAATTTTTTGACGGGCGTATCATGCTGTGGCGTGGCACTTTATTTGCATTTGGAACGGGGCCGAATATCGGCCCAGATATAGATAATCGAGAGCCCTGTTTTTTGTCTGACATTCAGGGCATAATGAGACTGACGTAAAAAATTAGATTTGATCAATGATGATGGGACAAATTTCCTCCTTTCCTTTCCCATGTAAGTTTGATGCTTGACTTCGAAATAGAGATAGCATAATGTGTACCATTTGTTTTATGCTTCAATTTTGAGAGGATATATTTATGTAAATAGGGCAAATGTAATGCAATTTAATGTTTGGAGGCGGAGCTAGAACTCTGCAAAGCTTAATCCTTTTTATACGCCCGTCTTAAGACGGGACGTATTATGTTATAGGCTTCATGTCCGTCCGTCCGTCCGTCCGTCTGTCCGTCTGTAAACTTTTCACATTTTCGACTTCTTCTCAAGAACCAATGGGCCAATTTTAACCAAACTTGGTACAAAGCATCCTTGGGTGAAGGGGAGTTTAAATTTTTAAAATGAAGGGCCAAGTCCCCTTACAAGGGGAGATAATCAAGAAAAGACAAATATAGGGTGGGGTCACTAAAAAATCTTCTTCTCAAGAACCATGTGTGGAAGCATCCTTGGGTAGTGTAGATATTAAATTGTTAAAATCATGTCCCCCGGGGGTAGGGCGGGGCCACAAGGGAATCCAAGTTTTACATAGAAATATATAGAATAAATCTTTAAAGATCTTCTTCTCTAGAACCACTGGGCCAGGAAAGCTGAAACTTATGTGGAAGCATCCTTGGGTAGTGTAGATATTAAATTGTTAAAATCATGACCCCCGGGGGTAGGGCGGGGCCACAATAGGGAATCCAAGTTTTCCATAGAAATATATAGAACAAATCTTTAAAAATCTTCTTCTCAAGAACCACTGGGACAGGAAAGCTGAAACTAATGTTGAAGCATTTTGGGTAATGTAGATATTAAATTGTTAAAATCATGTTGGGGGTAGGGCATTAATCCAAGTTTTACACAGAAATATATAGAACAAATATTTAAAAATCTTCTTCTCAAGATCCACTGGGCCAGGACAGCTGAAACTTATGTGGAAGCATCCTTGGGTAGTGTAGATATTAAATTGTTAAAATCATGACCCCCAGGATAACAGTAGGGCCTAAGTTTTACATAAAATATATAGAACAAATCTTTAAAAATTTTCAGTTGCCTACAGACCCACTGGGCCATGAAAGCTGAAACTTATACGGAAGCATCCTTGGGTAGTGTAGATATTATATTGTTAAAATCATGACCCCTAGGGTTTGGACAGGGCCACAATAGGTAATCCAATTTTTTCATAGAAATATATAGAACAAATACTTAAAATTCTTCTTCTCAATTTGGGCCATGAAAGCTGAAACTTATGTGGAAGCATCCTTGGGTAGTGTAGATATTAAATTGTTAAAATCATGACCCCCAGGGTTTGGACAGGGCCACAATAGGGAATCCAAGTTTTACATAGAAATACATAGAACAAATCTTTAAAAATCTTCTTCTCAAGAACCACTGGGCCAAGAAAGCTGAGACTTATGTGGAAGCATCCTTGGGTAGTGTAGATATTAAATTGTTAAAATCATGTCCCCCGGGGGTAGGGCGGGGCCACAATAGGGAATCCAAGTTTTACACAGAAATATATAGAACAAATCTTTAAAAATCTTCTTCTCAAGAACCACTGGGACAGGAAAGCTGAAACTTAAGTGGAAGTATCCTTGGGTAGTGTAGATATTAAATTGTTAAAATCATGACCCCTGGGGAAGGGCGGGGCCACAATAGGGAATCCAAGTTTTACATAGAAATATATAGAACAAATCTTTAAAAATCTTCTTCTCAAGAACCACTGGGCCAGGAAAGCTGAAACTTATGTGGAAGCATCCTTGGGTAGTGTAGATATTAAATCTCTCTGACCCCTTGGGGTAGGGCGGGGCCACAATAGGGAATCCAAGTTTTACATAGAAATATATAGAACAAATCTTTAAAAATCTTCTTCTCAAGAACCACTGGGCCAGGAAAGCTGAAACTTATGTGGAAGCATCCTTGGGTAGTGTAGATATTAAATTGTTAAAATCATGACCCCTGGGGGTAGGGCGGGGCCACAATAGGGAATCCAAGTTTTACACAGAAATATATAGAACAAATCTTTAAAAATCTTCTCAAGAACAACTGGGCCAGGAAAGCTGAAACTTATGTGGAAGCATCCTGGGGTAGTGTTTATTCTAAAGTTTTAAAATCATAAAAGGGAAGGGGGTAGTGGGCATGATAGGTGTAGCAAGAGGGGGAATCTGGTAAAAGAACTGCAACACCCAAGTTACTCAGGTGAGCGATGTGGCCCATGGGCCTATTGTTTATCATGTTTATGTTAGTTATAGTTTGAAGGCGGAGCTGGAATTTCCCTAAGCTTTATTATGTTATTTATAGTTTGGAGGCGGAGCTAGAGAATGTCCAGTTTGAGAAGCTTGACTTTGGCGAGACGTCCGTCCTGGACTTGTTTTATAATGCGGACGTCGTCATCGTGGACATGAGTATCCCGGTCCAGCAGTCGGCCCTGTTTTATCACATCGGAGTCAGGCAAAGCATGGAGATGAAGTTTAACATTGTCCTCCATTATGATGTAGACCCTGAGCAGTCATTGGCATTAAGGGTAAGGAAGGATTGAAAGGGGGGATAAAGAGGGATTGAGGTAGTCATATTGACTCATAAGGAGGGATTGAAGGGGGATTGAGGTAGTCAGGAGGGATGGAGGTGGGTTAAGCAGGGATTGAGGTAGGTTAGGAAGAATTGAGGGGTAGATGAGAAGTATTAACAAAAGTATAACATGTATGCATCATCATACATCATTACAGGCATATGCATTAAATGATGACAGTTTAGGAGGGGAAATAATTCATGAGAAATGATATTATACAGTTTATTGTAGAGCATTATTTATTGATCTTTGTGCTATTTTTAGCTTTCCTGTGGTAACAACGTGCTGTTTTTCCCGTACTTGGTGGACAGTAATAAGACCTGCGTTGTCGTGGAGAACTCAACCTTACCTCAGAACTGCTGTGTTCACCCGGAGAAAGGACAGCAGTCGTTATTTGTACAACTCAAAAAGAAGCTCAGCGAAATGGAGAAAGAAAACACGTAATTAGAAAATTAACATACCATTACTCCGTCAAATTGTTAGCATATAAATTGATATATTGTTATATGTTGCCATATAAATTGATTTAATGTCAGGTAATGTGGAATTTGATTATTTTATACTGTTATTTGCTCTTGATGAAACCTTTATTTACAAGTGATGTATTTCCTATATCCTTGTTTCTGTGTAGGGTGCACATCAAAGAGAGATTCCTGAACGATTTACGGAAAGCGCGCGACCAGTATAAAGGGGAGGAGCTAGCCAAGGTAAAAGATTGTAACCATGGCAACACCAAACACTGATTTAGTCAGAATCATATTGCTGTGTTACTTCACTTTACTTTTTGCATTACATGCTGTTTTGTTTTATTTATTACATGTTGTTGGATCACTTATCTTATGACAATACATGTTGTTTATCAATGCAGATTCAGTTTATTTTATTACATGTTGTTGATTTGCTTTATTTATTACAGTACATGTTGTTGATTTACTTTATCTATTACAGTATATGTTGTGTATACCTTTAATGTTGATTTCATGGATTTTTCAGGTTCTGGATGCTATGAAGACACGTCTAGATGATCCCCAGCTATTATGTGTAGAGGTCGTCATGAATATGCTAATTTCTTTGAGAGAGACACAGGTGATTAAACTAATTAAAGCTATTATGTGTATAGGTCATCATGAATATGCTAATTTTTTTGAGAGAGACACAGGTCAGTAAACTCGTAATTTATACTTATTGGTAGTTCTATATGCAGGGGTTAACATGAATATGCATATATTTCTGTTTAAGAGAGCCCTAGATTTGTAATAAATATTTATAGATAGATTTTTATATTGTTGAGGTCATCATAAATATGTTATTTTGCTTTGAGGGATATTCATAATGAATATATAATTTATATAAAGATATTTTTATAAGTATGTTTACCATTTTGTGTTCTGAAATCTAGCAGAGTTTTACCTGCCTTTATTTTGTTATATATCTCTCGTTTGTTACAGAACTATGATGCTATGTCTCGTTTGTTACAGAACTATGATGCTATATCTCATTTGTTACAGAACTATGACGCTATATCTCATTTGTTACAGAACTATGACGCAATGTCTTGTTTGTTACAGAACTATGACGCTATATCTCATTTGTTACAGAACTATGATGCTACATGTATGTCTCGTTTGTTACAGAACTATAACGCAATGTCTTGTTTGTTACAGAACTATGACGCTATATCTCGTTTGTTACAGAACTATGACGCTATATCTCGTTTGTTACAGAACTATGACGCTATGTCTCGTTTGTTACAGAACTATGACGCTATGTCTCATTTGTTACAGAACTATGACGCTATGTCTCATTTGTTACAGAACTATGACGCTATGTCTCGTTTGTTACAGAACTATGACGCTATGTCTCATTTGTTACAGAACTATGACGCTATGTGTCGTTTGTTACAAAACTATAGCGCTATGTCTCGTTTGTTACAGAACTATGACACTATGTCTCATTTGTTACAGAACTATGACGCTATATCTCATTTGTTACAGAACTATGACGCAATGTCTTGTTTGTTACAGAACTAGGATGCTATATCTCATTTGTTACAGAACTATGACGCTATGTCTCGTTTGTTACAGAACTATGACCCTATATGTCGTTTGTTACAAAACTATGATGCTATGTCTCATTTGTTACAGAACTATGACACTATGTCTCATTTATTACAGAACTATGACGCTATGTCTCATTTGTTACAGAAATGTGACGCTATGTGTCGTTTGTTACAGAACTATAACGCTATGTCTGGTTTGTTACAGAACTGTGACGCTATGTCTCATTTGTTACAGAACTGTGACGCTATGTCTCATTTGTTACAGAAATGTGACGCTGTGTCTCATTTGTTACAGAAATGTGACGCTATGTGTCGTTTGTTACAGAACTATGACGCTATGTCTCGTTTGTTACAGAACTATGACGCTATGTCTCATTTGTTACAGAAAAACGCTATGTCTATTTGTTACAGAATAATCATAACAGAACTATGACGCTGTGTATATTTGTTATAGAAATGTGACGCTTGTGTAATTTGTTACAGAACTCAAAATGTCTGTTTGTTACAGAAATGTGACGCTATGTCTCATTTGTTACAGAACTATGACGCTATGTCTCATTTGTTACAGAACTATGACGCTGTGTCTCATTTGTTACAGAACTATGATGTTTGTTTGTTTCTTTAACTTGTTTTATCTCATTTGTTACAGAATATTTGCTACATGTATTTTTTTGTTACAGAACTATAACGCAATGTCTTGTTTGTTAAAAAAATATCTCGACAGAACTATGACGCTATATTTATATATACAGAACTATGACCTATGTCTCGTTTGTAAAATAGTTAATCTTGTTACAGAACTATGACGCTATGTTATTTGTTACAGTATAGCCGAATATTCAGAACTATGCCGATATGCTCCATTTCAAGTCCAACATGCTATGATTTGTTACAGAACTATGATGTGTCGTGTTACAAAACTATAGCGTATGCAAATTTGTTACAGAACTATGACACTATGTCTCATTTGTTACTTTACTATGACGATATCTCAAAAATAAAATGTTAAACTTACTATATCTAATTTAATGTGATAACATTTTTTGTAATAAAGGACTTATAAAAATTGTTTTTTTAAATAGTTATTCCAACTGTTACAGAACATGTTTACATTCCTTTATTACAGATATGCGCTATGTCTCATTTGTTACAGAACTATGACGCTATGTCTCTTTTGTTACAGAACTATGACGCTATGTTATTTGTTACAGAATAAATGTCTACGTTATTTAAAAAAGATATGAATCGTTTTGTTTTATTTTTGTTTCTTTAATATAGTTATGTATTTGTTACAGTTTGTGACAATGTCTCATTTGTTACAGAACTATGTGTGTCTCATTTGTTACAGAACTATAACGATGCATTTTTAAGAACTGTGACGCTATGCAAATTATGTTACACAACTATGAACGTGTCTCATTTGTTAAAAATCTAACTTTGTCGAAAAAATTGCAAACAATTATCATAATTATCGAGTACATCACTGTTAAAAGTAATTTAAACCCTATGACGCTATGGTGAATATAATTAACTGTATCAAAACATATAGGACAATTCTGTGTGCCAATTATGCTCTCACAGGTTTGACAATCCTTCATTAATTTATGTTCATTTTATACTTCCATTTATTTTTTTCAATGTTGTCAAAGTTACAGTGTAAACAAAAGCTTCATAGGGAAGTTAGAGGTGTGAAAAGGTAAAATTTATTTCAAGAATAATCATAAAGATGTGCTGAGCTAAATATATTTGTAATTCAGATAGAAATCAAAATTCAGAATATTTTCATCCTAGAGGTAAGGTCAAAGGTGAAATTATTAATGTCAATATATAAGAAATTGTTTTGTTCTTTTCTTATATTTTATCCATTAAATATTTTCATTATATTCGTTTAACCGCTATCTTGATTAAAAAAAAGCCACTTGATGAATTTATTTACATTGTATTTATGTTTGAACAGATCCTGTTCTATTTTAGTCATTTTTATAATCAGTACATTAAGTGGACAGACAGTTCCAGTCCTTATGAATATGGATGTGTACAATACATAGATGTAGTTGTTATTTAATCTTTCTATAAATACTGTTCTGTTTATGTGCAGGCCATTCGACAGACTGACAATCCTAGCCCTGATATGCTGTGTTTGTGTGGGCGGATCTATAAGGATATGTATGTAGACTCGGAATTCACTGACCGCTCTATGCTGGACAATGCCATTGAGTGGTGAGTCAAGTCAAATAGGGTTCAAAGTTCAAATGTCAGCCTCTTCTGAACCTGACAATTCATTCTAAACTACCCTGTTTCATAAATTTATTTGGACAAAGGAAACTGCTTTGATTTTTTCAAAAAAAATTCTTTAAGTGTCTAAATCTTTCTGTGAAACCTTTATACTTATCCAAAACAATTTTTTTGTTTTTCTGTTCAGTTAGAATTTCCTCTGTTACAGGTACAGGAAGGGGTTTGATCGACAGCCTAACGAGTATGCTGGGATAAATCTGGCTACTCTGTTAGTCATCTCAGGGAAGGATTTCGCCTCTTGTTCAGAGCTTCAAAGAATAGGTACATTATTATTGTATAAAATTCCTAGAGAGAAAAATAATATTAAAATAATTATTATTGCATGAATATTAGTAGTGAGTGTTAGCTCAGACACATCATAGATTACAGCTGTGAGATTTTCTATAAAATGTAACATGAAGAAAAAATTGTCAGGTCTCATGGTTAAATTCTGTTGATCAGGGTTTATTTAATCTGATAATTCTGAAGGTTATTGAGATACAGTATGTTAGGGTGTATGTTTGATGTATTAAGGGTTAAGTACATTGCAGATGAGCCGTTTAACATTGAATGAATTTAATTTTATCAGGTCTGGTGTTAAATAATCTGATTGGCAAGAAAGGCAGCCTGACGTCGCTACAAGATTACTGGGATGTTGCTACATTCTTCGAGATCTCGGTCCTCGCGCAGGATTATGGGAAGGCTGTACAGGCTGCAGAATGTATGTTTCGACTCGAGCCGCCAAACTGGTAAGTGGAAACGCAGGGAAATCTTATACAAACTCAAAACTAATACATACCTATCCCAAATCAAAGTGAAAACTGGTACCCATCCCAACAAAGTCAAAACTGATACCTATTCGTGAAGGAACTCCAATCTGGTACCCATCCCAAGCCAAAGTCAAAACTAGTACCCATCCCAAAACAAACTCAAAACAGATCCCATCCCAAAACAAACTCAAAACTGGTACCCATCCTAACCTAAAGTCAAAACTGGTATGGTATTCATCCATAAAAGAAGACCCCTGTCTCAAAATACTGGTGTTTTCCTCTCTATCTCTCTCTCTCTCTCTAATCACTATTCAGAGGAAATCCAAAAGTACTACTATTGACACTCTAATAGTACAATCAAAGTATTCAATATCAAGTTACAAGGATTACTCATTTATTACAGGTATCTGAAGTCTACTGTTGGTAATATTTCTTTAATTATGAGATTTAAGAAGAAGACGCCAAGTTACTCCAAAGAACTCCAGGTAATGTGACATTATACACTGTAGTAAAGTAACAGGGCAAATATTGAAGCATAACATGCCATAGTGGTGTATTGGTCGTGATGAATTTGTGTTAGAGGATTTAATGTACAGTGATTATTCCTGAAGTATCTCTTTATTTTTTAGTTGTTTAATTTTTGGATGGAGTTTTTCGCTGAGGCGTGTAAGACCGATCCTAAAGAGTTAACCAGCTCCTCATTTCCTGTAAGTACCTAATCACCATGGTAATGGATATTCAGATTACTAACAATATACAATATTATACAATTATGGACTCTTTTGATGTTGAATATGGTTTGTTATTCACCAGAAAAACATTAGTATTGACCGAGGCGTTAATTCAGGAGCCCAATAAAGTGTTAGTGCCAAGCTACGTATATAATTACAGGTGTTAATACAGGAGCCCAATAAGGTGTTAATGCCCAGCTATGTCCAGGTGAACTGGGACGAGGACACTAAGGAGGTCAGACTGTGGCACGTGTACCCCGAGTCAGAATCGTCTAAAGATCATGAGTGGACCTTCCCTGCCATAACTATAAAGGGAGTCAGGTATCTACTCCGTTATTGGATTTAATTCCTTTATTGGATTTAATCAGGTATTACGTAAGATCACAAGTGGACCTTCCCTGCCCAGGGTTCTCCTCAAGGGGTTTTACCATGGAGGTGCGCCATGGTTAAATTTGTGTGCGCCATGGTTAAATTTGCTGCGCCATGGTTAAAATCCGCGCCCGCCATGGTTAAATTTTAGAATTTCAGAGATGACACCTGCAATATACTATCTGAGTAGTTAATTGTGTTTATACAACGTGGTGTGAAGCCCCCCAAGCGCACGGGGACAGGTAATAGTGCTAATTAACCACGGTCGATAGCTGCGAATGTGCCGTGAAGCGTCCTGAATTAAGATCGGTCGATAGCTGTCTGGTGAGTAGTTATCTACTATATAAACTACTGTTAACTGGGCTCTGTATTTTGTATTACACGTTATTTTGTTGAATTCTAACTGTGTTCAGTTCACTACATAATAATTAAAAGATTTACAAGAATTCACAGACATAGTAACGATGTCTCGTAAGTAATTCATGTTAAGGGCAGTCGAAACTAAATAGTTTTTTTTTAACGTCGGCAATCTTGATGATAGAGTTACTTCCCGTTGTTATGAGACGTCGCGTGGTGCTATTTTTAGCACTGGGGCATGTGGAGAAGTTAACAAAACTTGGTGAAAAACGCATTATCTAGAAAAATAGAAAAAAAGGACACTTATCCAATTGTTCCTTTGTGTGTTTACTTTAAAAAATACTAACCATTCATCAGTTTTAGTCATATTTAAACAAAACATTTCATACAACAGGCTACAACAATTCTTACAATTATTAATTTCTGAATGATATTGCCCTGGTTAATGTATCAACAATTTTTTTTTATTTCTTCGGAAGATTACTACAGTTTTGGGCAAATTCTGGTACATTTGTGAGGTAAAATACAGGATAAATCCTTTTCAATTTTAATTCTTATTTTTTTTTTAACTTTAAACAGAGTTAGTTATTCCATTGTTTTGTGTTGCAATAGTAAAGTTTACAAATTGTAAAACCAGTCATTGATTAATGAAGATTAGGAAGTCCAACGCGCATTCGTGTTTTCGGTCTCATTTTGTCTTCACGCAGCTTCCTCCATGGTTAAATTTTCAAATGTGGAGAACCCTGCCTGCCATGTCTATAAAGGGATTTAGGTACTACTCCTTAATTGGATTTAATTCCGTTATTGGATTTAATCAGGTATTACATAAGATCACGAGTGGACCTTCCCTGCCATGTCTATAAAGGGATTTTATATTTAGGTAGCTACTCCTTAATTGGATTTAATTCCGTTATTGGATTTAATCAGGTATTATGTAAGATCACAAGTGGACTATGTCTATCAAGATAGCTAAGTAGCTATTCCTTTATAAGATATTTGGTCAGGAAATAAATGAAATTTTTTAGTTTTGTTTTAATTTGCATGTACATTTAATTTGATACAAATGAAAGAAAAGTAATTCTGTTAAGCTGGTAACATAATGCAGATCACCTTCTCTCTGAATCTGAGATGTGGTACAGCTAGAGTCGACATAAACTTTTGGTTTTGTATACTTTGTTTGATTTATTATTGAGTTGAATTTGATCCCAAGGTTTGATTTGGTTACAGTTTGTACAGAAGAGACTGCCGGGCTGTGTTTCTCTATGTCCAGGAAAATTCGGACGATTTTCACATTTTCTTCTCATCAGAGCTGCAGAGAAGAGAGTAAGTCCATGTACATGTATAAATGTGGTTATACAGTTATTGCATTTCTAACAGATACTATTGTACAGTAACAGTAATATCACTTTTAACCTGTACATGTCTCACACATTCTTATATTAAGTACAGTCGCACCTGCTGTTACGGCCACCCTGAATCAGCGGCCACTCCCCATGAGCGGCCAGTTTCAATCCCGCCCGTTCAATTTTTCACTATATTTTAACTCATTTAAGCGGCCACCTGTCTAACGCGGCCAGTGGCCAGTGTTTTTAGGTCCCGTGCGCTCAACATGTGTTTTCAGCGGCCATTTTGTCCGTTTTGTCACATGACTTCCGTCTGACACGTGACCTCGTATCCTCATACGAAGCCAAACACGAACAGCTGATAATGAGTTAATGACCAATAATTGCAGGTGTAATTTGAATTCTGTCAGGATTTAATGATTTAATTAATATGATTAAATGATTTATTGTTAACAGATGTTTTTTGGTGTTCTTAATATACGAAAGTAAGTTGTTGAATAATTTCATGAACTCAATTACAATTAATTTTGCCTGAGGTTATCAAGTCATAGCGGACAGTCTTTTATGTTATATAAATAAATATATATCTAGAAAAACTAAAAAGCTTTACAATGCATCCGGGAAACGCTAATAAGTTGTTAGAACATTTCATGATTTTCTTGTGGCTGCAAAATTAAATTACCAACACACAAAAAAAAACAATAACAGATTTCTCACAGAAATTCATGTAAAATAAAATGTAAGAAAATGGATTTAATTTGACTTAAAATTTCCCAAGTTTTTTAAATGTGTTGAAATTGGATTTGGATACATGTGAAAATAAATACACAACTGTGATCGCAATTTTTTTTTTATTCATTGGTTTGAAACCTGGAATAAGTGGCCACCTGTCTTATGTGGCCAATTTGTCATTCTCCCACGAGTGGCCTCTTAAAACAGGTTTGACTGTATACTCTGTGTGTTATAACTCATGTTTTAGATTGTATAGTTATTACTTATTTTCCAGGTTCTGTGACAAACTCTTTGTGTTATTGCTATCTTTCAGGTTCTACAACATGGTGTCCAACATGATAAAGGATCAGGCCGACAGTCAAGTCTTCTCCGAGTCTCTGGACGAGTACGACTCAATAGAGGTGAGGACAGCTGTACTTATAAACTGACTCCTCTAAGTACACATGTGCTGAATAAGTATGACTCAATAGAGGTAAGTACAACTGTCCTTAAAAAATGACTTCTCTAAGTGCACATGTACTGAATGAGTATGACTCAGTAGAGGTAAGTACAGCTGTACTTATAAACTGACTCCTCTAAGTGCACATGTACTGAATGAGTATGACTCAGTAGAGGTAAGAACAACTGTCCTTATAAACTGACTTCTCTAAGTGCACATGTACTGAATGAGTATGACTCAGTAGAGGTAAGTACTACTGTACTTATAAACAAGAGTTCTTAGTGCGTGTGAACTGAATGAGTATGACTCAATAGAAGTTAAAACAGCTGTACTTAAAAACAGGAGTCTTAAGTGCATATGTACTGAATGAATAGGACTCAATAGAGGAAGGACAGCTGTACTTAAAATCAGGAGTCCTTAGTGCATGTATACTGAATGAGAACGACTCAATAGAGGAACAATTTGATATCAGCTGTAGAGTACATGTAATTCTATTGTCAGTGATACATTTACAAATATTAGTTTTGATCTTTCTTTCCAATGTAAGTATCTTGATGAATTTGTTTTCTAAGTTGTGTTAGGACATAGAAGTTCTGGGGTGGTTTATGATGACCTTGTTTTCTATTTATAGTACCAGTACGAGTTGGATGAGAAGAACCAGCGGGTTGTGTTAGGACGCGGTAGTTTCGGGGTGGTTTACGCAGCACGTGACACAAAAACTCAAGTCAGGATTGCGGTCAAAGAAATCCCAGAAAAAAATACACAGTAAGAAGCAGGCAGTTTATTTCTGACTTTATCTGATTCGTTACAGGGAGATAAACCATTTGATGTGAAGCTGTCACTTTAAATCGCCTGCTGACTTTGTAATTGGACCAAATACATAAATTATATCACTTTAAATCCATAGCTGACTCTATATTATAATTTACAGAGAGAAACATAAATATCACTGTAAATCTGAGGCTGACTCTACTTTATATTTTACATGGAAATACAAAACTATCACTGTAAATCCCAATGACTCTACATTATTCTTCACAGGGAGGTGCAGCCCCTTCATGAGGAAATCAAGCTCCACAGTCGACTGAGTCATAAAAACATCGTCAAATACCTCGGCTCTGTCAGCCAGGATGGATACTTCAAAATCTTCATGGAACAAGTCCCTGGAGGTCAGTAATGTCAAAGGTCATCTGTAATAGGTCACCCATTAGTGAGGTCAAAGGTTTTCTCTAATAGGTCATCAATAGGGTTCACTGATTTTGCCAAACTTATGATAAAGGATTTCGATTTTCATTTGGATGACAAAGTCATTGGTGTCCACGTGCCTACGACTGACTCCTGGAAATATGATTTTGATATGAGTGAGAAAGTCTCGGCCTCTGTGTGCTAATGACTTACTGATTTCTCATGAAGTGATTTAAGTGAGTCGATTTTGTAGGAAGCCTCTCTGCTCTGCTTCTGTCTAAATGGGGGCCACTAAAAGACAACGAGACAACGATAGCATTCTACACCAAACAGATTTTGGAGGGCCTTAAATACCTGGTAAGTATGTCACTAAACAATGATAGCATTCTACACTAAACAGATATTGGAGGGCCTTAAATACCTGGTAAGTGTGACATTATACAACAATAGCATTCTACACCAAACAGATTTTGGAGGGCCTTAAATACCTGGTAAGTGTGACACTAGACAACGATAGCATTCTACACTAAACAGATATTGGAGGGCCTTAAATACCGTATAGCGGGTTATTTTAGCGGGGTGCTAATTTTGGCTTATTTTAGCTGTTTGATGGCAGCCCGCTAAAATTTCAATTGCTAAAATAGTCAATTAACATTTAAATTAATCTTTTTATTGTTCATCTGCAAAGCGATGAAACCCTGTGTCCGCTAAAATTAATTACGCCAAATTTATTACCATACCTTTCAGCAGGCAAAACGCCAAATTTTACACCCGCCAAGAAAACCCGCTATACGGTACCTGGTAAGTATGACACTAGACAATGATAGCATTCTACACCAAACAGATTTTGGAGGGCCTTAAATATCTGGTAAATATGACACTAGACAATGATAGCATTCTACACCAAACAGATATTGGAGGACCTTAAATACCTGGTAAGTGTGACACACTAGACAACGACAGCATTCTACACAATTATCAAAACAGATATTAGAGGGCCTTAAATACCTGGTGAGTATGTCACTATACAACGATAGCATTCTACACCAAACAGATTTTGGAGGGCCTTAAATACCTGGTAAGTGTGTCACTAGACAACTAAAGCATTCTACACAAAACAGATTTTGGAGGGTCTTAAATACCTGCTAAGTGTGCCATTAGACAACGATAGCATTCTACACCAAACACATATTGGAGGGCCTTAAATATCTGGTAAGTATTAGACAATGCTAGCATTCTACACTAAACAGATATTGGAGGGCCTTAAATACCTGGTTAGTGTGACACTAGACAACAATAGCATTCTACACCAAACAGATTTTGGAGGGCCTTAAATACCTGGTAAGTATGACACTAGACAATGATAGCATTCTACACTAAACAGATATTGGAGGGCCTTAAATACCTGGTAAGTATGACACTAGACAACAATAGCATTCTACACCAAACAGATTTTTGAGGGCCTTAAATATCTGGTGAGGTTGTTATCAAATTGTTACCTTGTTGTGCTTGATATCTTGGAAAATAGTGTTGATAAACCTGACTTTCTTTGTAGCATGATAACAAAATCGTCCACCGCGACATTAAAGTCTGATTTTCTTTGTAGCATGATAACAAAATCGTCCACCGCGACATTAAAGTCTGATTTTCTTTGTAGCATGATAACAAAATCGTCCACCGCGACATTAAAGGTGACAACGTTCTGGTCAACACGTACAGCGGACTTCTGAAGATCTCGGACTTCGGCACGTCTAAACGTCTGTCTGGCATTAACCCATGTGCTGAGACTTTTGCAGGTAAAATTAAACGAAAGACGAGAAAAGAAATTGATTGTGTTGTTAACTTTACTATGTTTACTTAATGTAAATGTGGTAAGGGTCCATATTTGATCTTTACAATTATTTCTGATTTATTCGTAGGAACCATTCAGTACATGTTCTTTACAACTATTTCTTGTTTACTTCTAGGTATCAGTACATGTTCTTTACAACTATTTCTTGTTTATTTCTAGGTATCAGTACATGTACTTTACAATTATTTCTTGTTTATTTCTAGGAACCATTCAATACATGGCCCCTGAGGTGATAGATAAGGGTCTCCGTGGATATGGGTCTCCTGTAAGTATAATTTACATCTAGTGAACTTACAAACATTGAATATAACTCTCTGGGTCTGTTCTTTGTCTTCAATACAATCTGACCTTCAACTTAAAAACATCTCAGCATTTCAATTGTAAAACCTGGCCACAGCAGACATTTTTTATCAGTCTGTTTGAGCATTGGTTAAGTGTGAAGCCTTACTTAAACTACCATATAATCCCTATTAACCGCCCCGGGCGCTTAGAAAATTGCGAAAAGGGGGCGGTTATTTTGGTATTCTCTTTGTGATATTTCATATCATATCTTTACATCAAAAAATATTTTGAAAAAAAAATGAATTCATAGAATCTCCAGATTAATGTCTAACTTTACTTTAATTGAAGATAATCCACCCAAAGTATGCCAAATGATTCATTTTCCACTAAGAAATTGGATAATAAACAAGTTTCATTTTCAATTGCTTCAAATTTTTGCAGACTTTTGATAAGATTCTAGTCCTTCTAGAAAATTTTTATCACTGTGCAGGGGCCCTTATTTCCAGACCATTGAAAAAGACCTAAGGGGGCACTTATAGGGGCAGGGGCAGTTAATAGGGATTATACGGTATTGTTGTGACGCTGAATGCTTTGTTCTGAGATCAAATTGTATCATTTTATACAGGCTGATATTTGGTCCTTGGGTTGTACTGTTATTTATATATTGTATTATTTTATACAGGCTGATATTTGGTCCTTGGGTTGTACTGTTATTTATATATTGTATTATTTTATACAGGCTGATATTTGGTCCTTGGGTTGTACTGTTATATTGTATTATTTTATACAGGCTGATATTTGGTCCTTGGGTTGTACTGTTATATTGTATTATTTTATACAGGCTGATATTTGGTCCTTGGGTTGTACTGTTATATTGTATTATTTTATACAGGCTGATATTTGGTCCTTGGGTTGTACTGTGATAGAAATGGCTACAGGAAAGTTGCCTTTTATAGAGGTAAGCTGACTTCATTTATTTACTTACTTTCTAATGTAGTCTCGTGTATATGTGTAAAGGTTTAATGAACCTCATCTATCTGAGTCAGCTGATGATAAGTCTGTCTTTACATTCTTAGCTTGGCAGCCCTGAAGCAGCTATGTTTAAAGTTGGTTTCTACAAAATGCACCCAGAAATTCCTGACACGATGTCACAGAATGCCAAAGACTTCCTTCTCAAGTAAGTCTGTGTTTTATACATTGTATGTTATATACGATGTCAATGTTTGCAGATATTTTCTGCTCAGAGTTTACCTTAAGGTGACTTTTGACCTTGAAATTGGTTTGAAATATTTTTTCTTCTCTTAAAGGAGAATATGACTAACTTAATTATATCATTTGATGTTATACGTAGATAAGAATGAGAAGCACACATCTGATTATAGAGATGCCATATTGGTCTGTAAGGTTATTTATGTCTATTTTATTTTAGGACATTTGAACCAAAGCCAGAACTGCGTGCCACTGCAGAGGATTTACTGAAACATCCGTTTATTGTAGAGTGAGTCTGAGTTAACTAAATTATCTTTTTAACAGTCATTTGAGCGAACTTTAAGGATAAAGCTTCAGAAAGTTGTTGTTCTCAGGTGATTGTCTTATCAACCATATGGCTTTCTGTCGTAGAACTTTGTCAAAGAAGAAAAAGAAGAGAGCTAATGATGGTGAATACTTCCGCAGTATTTCTAGTAAGTATGCTGAAAACAGATGGTAAAAAGGCTTGGATCATTGAATTTCAGTAATCATTGCTAGATATCAGATGTTCTTATTAAATATCACCTGTCATTGTTAGATATCAGTTGTCATTGCTAGATATCACTTGTTTTTGTTAGATATTGCCTGTCATTGTAGTCATCAGATGATGTTTTTAGAATTTATTAATCATTGCTAAATATCAATTTTCTTTGCTGGATACCAGATGTCCGTGTTAAATTCAGTTATCGTTGCTATATATCACTTGTCACTGATAAGCAGTCATGATATCTAACGTATGGTATGAATTGTTTATTTGATATATTGTGCTTTTCTTTTTACTTTAAGTGCCAGCTGGTCAAGAGGGTTATATCCAGCAAAAAAACACGATGCAGCTACAGCTACCAAAGAAAAAAAGGTGAGGGAGAGAGAGAGAGGGAGAGAGAGAGCTAAAAGAAAAAGTTAAGAGAGAAGAAAGAGAGAGAGAGAGGGAGACTGCTACAGGTACCTAAGAAAAAAAAGTGTGAAAGATATATAGATAGATAGTCTTAAAGACACAATGTGATGAATTGTCTGTTTCTATTTATAGAGAATCATAACGACACAGTGTGATGAATTGTCCGTTTCTATTTATAGAGAGCCGCACTCTCCTGCATCGAGTGTCGGCAGTAATGATACTTAAGCATTGAATTAACATTTTTGGATGTCTTTGGTCCTATAACACACCTGGCCGTGCCATCCCAAAATATGAATTCAATACATGTACGAGGGTCATTCAAAAAGTTCGTAGACTTTTGTCCTAACTTTTTTATTTAACGTCATATTATATCCAAATTTGATACAAATATTTTAATAACAGATTCAAATAATTTGAGTAAAAAAATTGGAATGTATCCTCATATTTATTAAAATTACCAAGGATTTAGAACAGCAAAAATGGGGTCACGGAGCACCGTCAAAATTGAGTCATTTTCTAATTTTCACTGTATAGTATTTACAGCTATACCTCTAATAAATGGAGCTGAAACGAAATAAAATTTACATGTTTAAATAAAGTATTGCTGTATTAATTAAAATGAAATCAGGTTATGTAATTTCTCGTTCCATTTAAAAGATATCAGCTTCTAAATACATATGGACTTGATTAAAAAAGGCAAAAAACCATGACGTTGGAGGACGTCACGGAGCAGCAAGTAGCAATAAAATTAGACTTTACATTCGGGAAACTTTTTCTACAAGCTTAAAAAATCCTTATAAATCAGGATCTGTATGAAAAAAAATCTGTGTATTTGTATTAAGTTGAAAATACAATTTTTGAGTGGTAGCGAGTTTAAATCGGACGATGGATTGTATGCAAAGAAACAGTTTAAAGTTAAAAATATTGTCAAAAGAGTTAGGAACGTCATTGAACGTGATGAGTGCTTCAATGTTGCAGAAATAATAAAGTTGCATGGTAAATCAAAGAATTTGAAAACAATAACATTCTAATTCAAGCTATATTTGTACAATTGTTAGCAAACCAGGTGTTAAGTATTGTGGATATGTGTTTTGAATGGAGAAGACGCAACAAACCGTGTTTGAAATAACAAAAATGTGTATACTTTTGACAAACTTTCTCAGCGTTGTTTTTGAAGTTACAATATTGGTTAATCGTGCTCCGTGGTAACAAAACATGTTGCTTTTAATTTTGGCTAACGTGAGTTCTGTTTAATCAAATGGAATGAAACTTCACACTTCGACAAAATAAATGTTTATGTTTACGAAAATTTATTGATCTATAATCTTGTAATAATCATATGACGATGAGTAGCATTGTCTACGTATTTTTTGAATGACCCTCGTACTTATATTTACATTCTTTAATTTTTTCTCTTCATAATTGTTTATTTCGATAATCTTTAATGTGAATTTAGCGCCCTTCAAAACTGGTGTGCTTTATAAACTTAAGAGCCGTTTGTGACGTCGTAAAGTTAAATAACGCAAAAGAACATTGCGAGGAAAAAAAAATGACAGAATAATTTTAAATGCACATTTGTTGTATTTTTATATTAATTTAACAGGTTTAATTTTTTATTAGATTGTGTCAAAACAATGTACATTTTGGTGTTCCTAATTTAAAGTATTGAAAATGCATATAGTTCCTACTGTGTATTCTAACGCGCAGTGACAAGGTTTTGCGTGTGTCATAGAGATTTGAATGTCATGGATTTCTAATGGATTTCATGAAGAAAATTACACTGAATGTAAATATAATGTGATGAATTGTCTGTTTCTATTTATAGAGAGCCATGCTCTCCTGTGTCGAGTATCGGCAGTAACAACACAATGTGATGAATTGTCTGTTTCTATTTATAGAGAGCCGCGCTCCCCTGCATCCAGTATCGGCAGTAACGACACAATGGATATGGATGAGTATGACGCTTCAGAAGAGAAAGAACGGGAAAGGTAAGCCTCGTTTTGATGTGCTCCAGTTTCCTCATTTAATTCAATGTGTTCAGTTGCTGAGTTTTCCTTTAATTTTTATGAATGTCCTCACAAAGTTATTTCCTTTTGTCAATATCAGAATTCCATCTTCTTGCTATCAATAAAATCTCTCAATCTAGAGTTAAATATGTTTGATTTGTTTATTAATACTTTGCTGATTAAAAGTGGTATTAACATGTCAGTTAAATTTTATCTTAATATCTGTAAAGTTCTTGCAATTTAAGGGAAAAATAAAGATCTCTTATGCCACAAAGGGACATAACTTGTGTGAGACATGTCTGTTGTGCCCACGTTAGCCTTAATTAACAGCATCTATTATGTACTCAGCACAGCATGCCGTACTTACCAATAGCTAGAACTTCAGAAGTCTGATTAGCATTTTGTTGTGTTAGTGATCAACATTGGAAAGTCAGAATTGGAAAGTCAGAACAGGGATCAATGTCCAGACTGATTCTCTACTCTAAATATCCCACGGATAGAATCTAACAATGATGTATAATAATAAAAAAAAAAGATTATATAACATTAACATCAACTAAGATTTAAAACTGAATATTCCGGAAAGATTGGTAATATGCAGTAGAAAAGCAAAGGTTTTTACTGGTAGGTGTGAACCATGGATGATGATATTCAGAATGTGTAGGCCTTTTATTAGCCTGAAGTGATAATAAGTTTACTACCCAGGCTGTTATGAGCTACAAACACTAATTGTGAGCCCTGCCTGGGACATGGGAAAATGATAAAAAAAAGAATGTCAGGCTATTGGGTTCTTGGCTGGGTGAAGTAGGTTTTCCTGAGTGAAAGTTTGATAAAAAACAAAATGTCTACCTACCTTGTTTTGATGAAATATAAGGTCTATAATGGTTATACACACACTTTGCTTATTTAACACACATATCTAAAAAAAAAACTACACAAACTTGGCAGCAGTGCTTCAATTTAACATCCATATGCTGGCTATTAGCTTTAATCCCACTCTACTTTCATGAATTTAACCCCCCTCCTAGCAGATACTGTCAGTCAATGAAGGAGGCAGTATTGGCACTTAAAAAAATGTTGATAACCTGTAAGCATTCAATTTATTTTGTGGCTATGGATGAATAAATGATTAATTGGTGCCTCCTTAGGCTTTGTGGGTTGGGCTTTTTACAAAAAAACAATTGTCTACTTCAGGTTTAATGGATGGAGTTCGGTTGAAAGAACATCTTAAAGTTGCTGGTAGTATGGGCCAGGGTTAGTTTGTGGATATTTCTAAACCTGATGCCCACCTAAAGTATGGGCCCGGGTTAGTTTGTGGATATTTCTATACCTGATGCCAACCTAAAGTATGGGCCCAGGTTAGTTTGTGGATATCTCTATACCTGATGCCCACCTTAAGTTTGGGCCCGGATTAGTTTAAGGATATTTCTATACCTGATGCCAACCTAAAGTATGCGCCCGGGTTAATTTGTGGATATTTCTATACCTGATGCCAACCTAAAGTATGGGCCTAGGTTAGTTTGTGGATATCTCTATACCTGATGCCCACCTAAATTAGGACCAAAGTTAGTTTGTAGATATCTCTATTCCTGATGCCCACCTAAAGTATGGGCCAGGGTTAGTTTGTGGATATCTCTATACTTGATGCCCACATTTAGTATGGGCCAGTGTTAGATTGTGGATATTTCTATATCTGATGCCCACTTAAAGTATGGGCCAGGGTTAGATTGTGGTTATTTCTATATATGATGCCCACCTAAACTATGGGCCCTGGTTTGTGATAATTTCTATATCTGATTGCCACCTAAAGTATTGGCCAGGGTTAGTTTGTGGATATCTCTATACTTGATGCCCACATTTAGTATGGGCCAGGGTAAGATTGTGGATATCTCTATACCTGATGCCCACATTTGTTTTATGGGCCAGGGTAAGATTATGTATTATTAGTTACATAGTCTTTTAGTGACAGGGTATGGGATGATACCTGGTTATAAATTTCATACCTGGCGAGGCGGATTTCAAGGTATGAAATTTACACAATTTAAAAATGCAGGTATTTTCCCATTTTGTCACTAAAAGACTACGTAATTAACATTTTTGAAAGTAAAATTGCGAATTTACATATGCCCACCTATGAAACATTTACGTTTTATCTATACTTTATAAATGGTTTTCTCTGCTAAATGCTTCATCGCGCTTATACTGTGCCTATTATGACGTCTCTTTTGTGTTTGTGACGTAATACATCGACCGGGTATAGATTTACAACTGACCGGGTATAGATTTGCAACTGACCGGGTATAAGTAATCCACCGCCTTCACGTGACAGACTTTAACCAATCGTAAGCCAGGATTTTAGGGATATCTCTATCAGGGTTCTCCATCATTTGAAATGTTACTGTGTTACAGAGTTAACGCGAAGAACTAAAATTTCGCGGTATTTTCGCGATCAAATTCGCAACTGAATCACTATTTTATTATAATTACAAAAGAATACATGCACACACTTATTTAAAAATTGCTAATTAGTTACACAAATGATATGGTCGTACAAATTGATAAAAGTAAAAACACGTTCTGAAAAGCAGAGGAAATTCTGACCGATACAGTCGTACTAATTAACATTTTTGAAAGTAAAATTGCCGTTATTATTTATCAATTTTCTTGATCGAGTTATCGCATTACATAAAAAAGAAACTTCAGAACAGTAAAATATTTTAAGAGTTCCTTTAACATGTTCAAAATTTCAAGCAATTTTTTTACATCAATTAAATGACTGATTATATATCGATACGATGTTATGTCTGACTTATAGTGCTAAAATTATTCTAGAGCCGCGGCTCTATAGAAAAGATATATTTAAATATTTTTTTTTAAATAATACATTATATTTTATTGCAACTACCAATTAACCCTTATATGAAAGTGTGAAAGCAAATTATTTGTCTTTGTGCCGTCATGCGTAAAGTCCGGTGAGGGTCTAGGAGATAATTGTTAATGCAAGGTAAGCCCTAGTGTTTAAGTGCTCTAACTTTTATAATTGAAAGACAATATAATTGTTTGATTAAAGTCTCAGTTAGAGAGAATTTGTGTTTAGATTTTCTAATTATCACAGATCTTACTGTGTCGGCAAAATTTTTACTGTGTTGCATGCATAAAATTTGAATCGTTACTGTGTCGGAGAAAATTTTACTGTGTCGGGAGCAACACAGTAAAACAGCTCATGGAGAACCCTGCTCTATAGCTGATTCCCACATCTATTTAAGGTCTACACCTGATGCCCACATTTGTTTTTTGGGGGTGGGAGTTAGTTTAAGGCTTCTGTATTTCAGATGCCCACATTCCTTTTTGGGGGGTGGGAGTAAGTTTAAGGATATTTCTATAGCTGATGCCCATATTTATTTAAGGGTCTATACCTGCCCACATTTGTTTTTACAGCGATCTAAAATACCACCGGTCTCGTAGTGTTCACTGTGGATTCCTGACCATGGACAGAACAGACAGGTAGGCATGGCAACCAGGGTTTTCTGCATGTTACCATGACAACACCACAGCTACTAAAAGCTTGATTACTAATGATTTATTGTAGACAATTTTGCTTTGCTTTGTACATATACACACAATAGCTCCCCCACTCACTAACAGTGCTTTGTACATATACACACAATAGCTCCCCCACTCACTAACGATGCTGTTACTTTTGTTAAATGTTCATTGATACTGTCTTAAATTATTTAGAGCTCAAAATCAAATTAGACAATGTAATGTGTACACATCAGATTTCCTAACTGGGTCATATGTAGGGGACGGGAATGTAAGAATATGTGTATATGATTAACGTACAGTGATTAATTAGGGATACAATCAATTCTATATAGGATTACTGATAGATATAGAATATTTTTTATGAGGGTGGTTGTATGTGTGTGAGAGAAATATGAGAGCAAAACAAGAGAGAGAGAAATAGAGATTATTGTAGACAAAGAAAGAGTGTCAACTCTAAACATTGTATTTTGTAAAGGCTGATAAGAGAATTCTCTTTGGTTCCATTAATATCAGGATAAATATTGATTCTGAGGAACTAGCCTACTTTCTGCTTGTGAATTGCTAGAATCACGACACTCTGTTGAATTTTCCTACATTATTTGTGTTAACCACGTTAGATCGCATGTGACGGTATTGGGTCATTTCACTTCAGGAAAGTAGATCTAGGATTTCGTAAACGAGCGGGATCTGACAGCAAATTCCTGGAAAGGAACCGGTAAGTCAGGTCACATGACCACCATGTGACCAAGTCACTTTGGTCTCAGCATGGCTTTGCTTCACTGCTTGATGTGTGGATGTCTTTAATGTTGTGTGAGGTAATGCTGGTCATTCGTGTCTTGTGTTCTATCTAACTATGACTGCACAGGTTGAGCACCGTGTAATATTGTTATCAACATGTTGACAAAAGAATTGGAAAAATCATACAATCAATGAAACTAGATTACTATAATATTTTTAAGAGTCTATCAATTAGGGATCAGATATGGAGGTGGTGCCAGGGTTTTTACTCCACATGAATCAATTAGAATAGCTTTGCTTAAAGAGCTTCATATAGCAAGATTGATAATTATACAATTTATATTTTCAATAAAATTTAACTGTATACATAATATTTACCATATTTGGTAAAATATTAATATCTGTGATGGACATATAATCATATTGACTCATAAACAGCTTGGTCATGTTGGTTTTCAACATTATCACTGTGACAGTATATTCAGTGTTCAACATTATCACTGTGACAGTATATTCTGTGTTCAACATTAACACTGTGACAGTATATTCTGTGTTCAACATTATCACTGTGACAGTATATTCTGTGTTCAACATTATCACTGTGACAGTATATTGTGTGTTCAACATTATCACTGTGACAGTATATTCTGTGTTCAGGAACACTCATTGTTAACAGGGTTAAACCATTTGCATACTTTTTTCCTAGCATTTAATCAAAGCCTTAAACTAATAATCAATGATAATATGATTGGTAAAATCCTTATTTATAATAATCATGGCTTAGTTAGACTTTGAAATCTGTTATACAGTGTTACATCTTCTCTTTTGGATTTCTGATAGACAGTCTGCAGTAATATAATGATTATAGAGTCCTCAGCAAAATGTTAAATATTTGGTCATCTCATTCAATGTAAATTCTAGGACCAGAGTGAGAAATTCAAAATGTCCAGGTTATCATTAAGGCCCATGGGCCTCTTGTAAAGGTTATATTGATTTGAAAATTGCAAATTTTTGTATTGACTTGGAAATTAAAAAAAAAACAAACTAATAGTTGTGCTGTAAACTGCATGTGAGCATGCATGTGTGCCTCATTTTGGAGTTAGGGAAGTGATAGACAGTGTAAGAATTAGACAAGTAAATCAATGTTATAAGAATGCATGTCATTCATTTCAGATTTCATCTTTTCTTCTCTTTTTAAAGATTTTTTTATGCTTTAGGGCTGGCTTAAGTAAGTTCTGCATTAAACATTACCAATTAATGGCAGTGTTATGTGGGAGAGAGAAAATGAATATTTAATTAAACAAAATTTTCCAACAAATGAGTATGGACTCATCTACATGAATTAAAATATGTAATATTTGTAACCATTTATTGGAAATTATTTTATTTTAGTTGCCAATTTCTATAAAACCTACATGCACATTGGTGATGTTAAACACAGAATTAACATTGGACAGCCTAAGTCATTTGGAGTCATTAAAAAAACATGATAAATTCTTACCCAGAATGCTTTTAATTCATTACCCAGAATGCTTTTAATTCATTACATGTGGATGCAGGAGATTGTATGTGCTTGATCATAGTAAAAGTCAATATTGATCAGACCTCAATAGAAGTATGGGTGTATTATTGGTGTATTAGGTATTTAGGTAGGGGATTGATAGATTGGTTGTATATTGACATGTGAATTTAGGTTTCATCCATAATTAGGCTTGCTAACTGAATAACTCCATTTCATCAAGCTATAAAAAGCAAATATAAAATCACACATATTTATATGAGTAATGAATAAGTTAAGTCACTTTCATGTTCTTTCAGTTGTTTCTGAAGGAGAGACAGACAACGAAGTTTTCAACTTTTTTCGTATACATTGAACATGTTGAATGATTAAAAAGTTCCAATATTTGAAGTTTTTGTGCAGCTTTTATAATGCTTAACTAATGATGATGTTCATCCCTAGGGCTTCTAAATAGTTGTGGAAATAAATAAATAAACATATATTAATTTGGTAAATTAGATATTAAGTACTAATTTTATTTTTTGTTTGAATATATAAATAAAGAATTTTTTTATTTTAAAATTTCTCAAACCCCCTAAATGTATGCTAAAATTTTTTTGGAACCATTGAACATTTGATCTTAAAGTCTTATTAAGGGTCTAGATACCTGGTAAGGAATGAAACATATGACTATATCTATGTAGATGTTTACACTGCATATGAGATTATTGTGAGTAGAGAATGATTTCTAGATTTTGTTACAATGTATGATCTGGTTATGTCACATGATATGAATGCTTGTTTGTGATTGGCTGTTATTTACAGGTCGCCATCACCACTCACGCGGTGCCCCTCACCCATGACCTTGGAGGGGTTTACGTACAGGTAACCGTGGTAACATGATGTAGTCACGCCCACCTCTCTCTTATTCACGGAGCCCTTTTCTGTCGTAGAAAGCAGCCTGTCTCTCTGCTGAAGGCTAGCGTCTTTTTAAAAATTTTATTTGGATGCGTTTAGTCTTTGTCAATTTAAAGTAAGACCACATCAATTTAATTTCTTGTTCATCAAACATTTGATGAAAAAAGTGCGAACGGGCAAGCGGTTGAAAAATAATATTTATTTATTACTTTTAATTTGTACGCAAAATTTTTAGGCGAAACATAAAAAAAATTGAGCGGCCAATTATATTTTTTCTGCTTTGCAGATTAAGCAGATTAAAATTTCGATTCATAGAGTGGAAATGGAACAGAAAATAGCACAGTGTTCCCTTGGTGCAGGGAATTTAAATTAGTATCATTTGTAAAGTTTTACTAAAACAAAAGCCTGCAGGTCCGACCAACAAAAAAATTATTGGTGTGGCCTTAAAACAGATTTCTGGAATCCCCCATTATCTATAGATTTAATGGAGATTTATAAGGTCAAGGTCAGCCTCATCAGAGGGTCAGGCTACAGAGTTAAATCTGTGTCCTCTAATTTCTCTCTTTTTTTCTAGAATCTTATATGTCTTCTTATAACTGTTGATTTTATCCTTCATCTAACATCATTGCTTTAACTAAGTCTTAACCTACAAACATTAATTACATAACCAACAGGATACTAACAAGTCAAGTAAAGGGATTAAGGAGTTATTTATCGGCATGTTCTGCTTTCATCTTTTTCTTATGTAGCGTTCTTATTCCAGCAGCAGAAGTTTGTAATTACCTTTGAAATCAGATAAAAAAAAATTCTAGTGGATGTTCAAATTATGTCAAATTTCCAGGAACTTTTACATAACCTGGCAGTTCATATCATTTGATATTCAGCAGTTATAACAATACATATTTATAACAGTTATATCAGTACGTTGGTTAGAATTTTTCCCCCAATTTCTCCTTCATACAGTATTGTACTACATTTTGTCTTTACATGTAATCTGTCATTTTTTTTCTTACATGTTCATCATTGATTTTTCTTCTTCTTTTAAAAACAAAAAATGTCTGTTTTACCAAGGATAACTATAGTACTCATTAATCACTTTTGATATTAGCATGAATTTTATTCCTGCATGTTCAGTGCATTTTTAGTTCACCTCAATTCCTAAGCTGTATTGAGTTTCAATTCTGATCAGATTTTTCTGGTCAATATCAACCAAACTTTGTCAAATATTAATTTCTTTAGAAGGACTAGATAATTTAGTTGGAAGTCCATTATTTTTATCACCATCATCATTTCTTTTCACTACGTTCTGTAACAATAGTTCAAAATTTGATGATCAGAAGCCATTCTTTCTTATTTTACTTGTGGCCAAGTTACATTAGAAAATTCAAAGCCTGACTTACTAAAAATACACATTTGTCAAGTTCAGGAGTCAAATATTAGAAAAATAAAGCATCAGAAAGAGTTCTAGATCTAAACCACATTTTGTGGATAAAACAGGGTCAAATTTGTGGAGCAGGAAATTCATTCTAATTTTTTTTTACCATTGTTTTTATCCTGGATTTTGTCTTCCTTTGTATATTTTTTTTCTTTTAAATATATATTTATATGTTTTATATGATTATTATAAAATTTATTCATTAATATTTTTTATGACCTATACTTAACCTTTAGCCTTTAAGCAATTAAATGATCTTTCAAGATGTAGGTTTGACTCCCTTATCTTTTTGTTTTTGATGAGGCCATCTTTAAAAAGAATTTGGTTGGTTGCCCTCTCCCGACCAACTGACTAAAAATTGCCCAAATCAATTTTTTTTTTACATTCCTGGACACAATATTTTCTTTCTTTTTATTCCTCTTATTTTGTCAACAAAAAATGTTCTGGGGAAAAAATTTTCCCAGCTACCTACCACCCAATAAATTGACCCAGAGTCAGGGAGAGAGCAAGCAAACATTATTCTAAAAATGGCCTGATCATACCTTGTTTTTACAGTGAGGCAAATGGACAGTAACCTTATCCAGTTATTTAACCCATAAAAAGACCTAGTGGTCTTTAATTTCTAGTTTTCCTTTAGATTGACCAAGACATTGTGTAATTTCTAAGCCTTTGAAGTGAAGTGTCCAATAATCACTGGCCTTTGATGTGTAGTGTCCAGTGGTCAGTGACTTTTGCTTTGTTTCAGCTCTGACGCCGGTAGTTCGGGATTATCGGGGAGCTCTAGCATGCTGAATCTGTCCCCCGACATCGGAGATATGGACCATAATTCCCATGACAGTTCTGCACACGGAGGGTTTTATTTACTGCGGAAGGATTCGGAGCGACGAATAACGCTGGTACACATTCTGACAAAGGATATGGAACAGGTAATTAATGCTTGTATACATATCATCACGTACTGTATGTACTTGCCTATAAATCGGTTTTTGGGAGTCAGATTTTGGTCCAAGACTTATCATCTGATTTAAAGGCAAGTTATAAAAAGGCTGGTATTTTAGAGGGTTAACCCCTCTATTAAAAGCTTAAAATATACAACCTTCTTATATGCGGACCGACTTATAGGTGAGTATTATTCAGTAGGTCAAAGAACAGGTAATTAATGCTTGTACACATTCTAACAAAGAAAACAATTATTGCACTTCAGTGGTTGTGTTGCATAGCTAACAAACCTACACGTCAGGTTCATTTGTCCATCGTTTCAATTTTGGTCAAAAGAATCATCTTTGAGTCAGATATGGGCCCATATAGACTCCAATTTCCTCCACAATAAAGCCCTCTCATGGTGTGTCCTCTCTTAACTCCTTTATCTTCAGTTAGATTATTACCATCTGTTTAAAATTGATGATATTAAATCTTAACTTTGTTTCATAGATTTGTGACACATGGCTGAATTTTCTTCACAAAGATGCCACCATTTCAAATCCCAAGCTGTCTGTGGTGAGTACATTTGCACTCAGAATGTCATAAAGGACCTTAACATTCAAGTGAAAAACATTATATTTTTAAGCTAAAATTTAATTGAAAAATAACTTTCAAGTGAAAAACAATATGAATTGATTTCATTACACGAAAAACCTCAGAAAAGAATAAACTTCTTGATGTAGTGTCAGCTGTTGAATTTCTCTAGCATTTCTCTTTTTCAATTTCTTTCTTTTCCAGGAACATTTACGATGGTTACTGGTCAGCTTAAAGAACTACATTGCAGACCCAAACTGTAAACACTGCATCAAAGATACATTAGGTACTGTCTTCTTCTTATCGTCATTTTGTAAATAAAAACAATCTCACCGGAAGTTGTTACTGAAAAAATTACTAAAAATAGCAGGTTCACTTTTCTTACTTTGAGAAAACGGTTTGTTATAGTGGTTTCTTGGTTAAAAATGTGTTCAGTTTTATGTTTTTCAAATTTACATTTCATGGAGGAGATAGTTTAGGGATCTCCAGACCATGAAAGTGATCAGAATTAAACCCTGGGAAAATTAGAAATGATTTCATAGATTGAAATTGTGTTCACTGAGAGAATGCAATAATAGAATACTGTCAGATGACACTGGGTCGTTACCAAGGAAACAAACACTGGGGCATTACCTATAAGACACTGGGCTATTACCTATAATGCTACCCATAAGACATAGGGTCAATATTCATAAAACATTTGGTCATCACCCATAAAACACTTTTTCATTAACGATCAGACAATAAGCCATTACCCATGAGGCACTGGGCCGTTACAGATAACATGGGGCCATTTGATATTAATTGATTTTAATTTTTTGTAACTCCTTCAGAACAACTTCGTCAGGCTGTGGACTTTGATGCTGCTGCTCTAATGGAGATACAGCTGGCATTATATGTGTTCCATGAAGCTGTGAGTTCTTATTGTGTCTTCTTTATAATATAAAGTGGAAATTTAATTGTGATGTGTTTAAAAAATGCATTAATTATTACATTAACTACAAATGTTTGTGATTTTAATCTTTCATTATATTAAGTGCATGAAGTAATGTTTACAATGCACATATAGAAACATACTTTTTTAAATTGTAGGTTAGTAAACATTTAAAAAGTCACAGCATTCAACCTCACTGGATGTTTGCCCTGGATAATTTACTGAGGGGGGCTGTACAGGAGGCCATCATGATTCTCTCTCCAGGTAAGTCACTAATCACCTGATAATTTACTGAGGTAAGTCACTAATCACCTGATAAACTACTGAGGTAAGTCACTAATCACCTGGTAATTTACTGAGGTAAGTCACTAACCACCTGATAATTTACTGAGGTAAGTCACTAATCACCTAAAAATTTACTGAGGGGGGCGGTATAGGAGGCCATCATGATTCTCTCCCCAGGTAAGTCACTAATCACCTGATAATTTACTGAGGTAAGTCACTAATCACCTGATAATTTACTGAGGTAAGTCACTAATCACCTGATAATCTACTGAGGTAAGTCACTAATCACCTGATAATCTACTGAGGGGGGCGGTACAGGAGGCCATCATGATTCTCTCTCCAGGTAAGTCACTAATCACCTGATAATTTACTGAGGTAAGTCACTAATCACCTGATAATTTACTGAGGTAAGTCACAAATTACCTGATAATCTACTGAGGTAAGTCACTAATCACCTGATAATTTACTGAGGTAAGTCACTAATCACCTGATAATTTACTGAGGGGGACGGTACAGGAGGCCATCATGATTCTCTCCCCAGGTAAGTCACTAATCACCTGATAATCTACTGAGGTAAGTCACTAATCACCTGATAATCTACTGAGGGGGACGGTACAGGAGGCCATCATGATTCTCTCTCCAGGTAAGTCACTAATCACCTGATAATTTACTGAGGTAAGTCACAAATTACCTGATAATTTACTGAGGTAAGTCACTAATCACCTGATAATTTACAGAGGTAAGTCACTAATCACCTGATAATTTACTGAGGGGGGCTTTACAGGAGGCCATCATGATTCTCTCCCCAGGTAAGTCACTATTTAACTGATAATCTACTCAGGTAAGTCACCTGTCTCCTTATAATCTACTAATTAAAGGTAAACCACTAATCAACTAATAATCTGTTCAGGTAAGTCAACTGATAATCTACTGATGTAAGCACCAGTCAACTAACAAACTGGATTTTTGTTTTACATTTTGAGGTTAATTTCTGAGTACATTTTTCAGATTTCAAACATTGCTGGGGCTAAGTGAGGTTAATTTCTGAGCACCAGACAAGTTTTGGTTTTTGTTTTGTATTTGTGGTTATTTTCTGAGTACATTTTTCAGATTTGGGGGCAAACATCGCCGGGGCTAAGGAGGAAGAGGTCGAGACGTCGGGGGTTCCGTCCACAAACTCGGGGAAGTCGGCCGCGCTGTATCGGAGTTCTGCCGTCAATGAACTACAACTACAGCTGGAAACGGTGCAGGACGAAAACATGCAGTAAGTCGTCATAGATACAGAAAAAATGCCTAATTAGGCTATTTAAATTTAATTCCCTGGTTCTCAGGCCTATTTTTTCCAAAACAGATGCGGGAGGGCGGCATTTTATTTTTCATTTTATTGGCAATAAAGTAGATGAGGGAGGTATTTTTTTTAATTTTAATTTCCGAATTTTCTTTAACATAAAGATATTTTTTAATCACAGATATACTTTCCATTTCTGGTCAAAATTTCTGCTTTATCCACTGCTTAACAGCGTGTAAACATCGTAGGTAATGTCCTCGAGATGTATTTTCAAACGAAGTAGCCAAAATCTCATTGTAAATGGCTACCAGAAGTGATATTTGAATATCTAAAATATACAGAAACAAAATGAGGTCGGAATTTTTTTTAATTGGTCTCCGCAATACCAACTTTTTATTTTATCAAAAATTCAATAAAATCGGCAATGCGGCTACCTCAAAACGGATGCGCGCGGGCCTGAGAACCAAGATTTCAATTTTATATGGCCTTACCATGGATACAGAAATATCATCTAGTTAACATTGTCATAGATACAGATATAAATCTAGTTACCATGGCCATAGATACCAACATTTAGTTATAATAGATAGTACAGATTCTAAAATTACATCTAGTTAACATGGTTATAGATTTAGTTATTGTGGTTATAAAAACCTGCATGTAGTTACCATAGTTATTATGGTTAAAGGAACATACATTGGTTACCATGAAAACAGAAATTACATTTAGTTACCATGGTAACTTACATTTAGTTACCATGGTTTTAAAAACTTAATTTAAGTTACTGTGATTATTTAAAATGTAGCCATAATAACTGAAGAATGATGTAATAGAAGTGAGCCAGGTTTTTACCTTGAGTAAACATGCAGTAAATTTTATCGTTTAAAGTAATATGCCAAACATATCATGTGTATGCCAAATTTTCATATTTATATTGTGTGCTTTTAAAAGTATATTATATAGATTTTCCTGAAATAAATATTACATTAAATCTATAATACGTTGACACCTGAGTCAGTGTTTTGTATTTTATAGATTACTACAGCAGCTTGTAGAAGTCAACAAAATGTATGGAGATGTTCTACGTAAAACAATCGAGGAAAAGAAAACTCATCTACAAAATATACAGTAAGTCAATAAAATGTATGGAGATGTTCTACGTAAAACAATCGAGGAAAAGAAAACTCATCTACAAAATATACAGTAAGTCAATAAAATGTATGGAGATGTTCTACGTAAAACAATCGAGGAAAAGAAAACTCATCTACAAAATATACAGTAAGTCAATAAAATGTATGGAGATGTTCTACGTAAAACAATCGAGGAAAAGAAAACTCATCTACAAAATATACAGTAAGTCAATAAAATGTATGGAGATGTTCTACGTAAAACAATCGAGGAAAAGAAAACTCATCTACAAAATATACAGTAAGTCAATTAAATGTATGGAGATGTTCTACGTAAAACAATCGAGGAAAAGAAAACTCATCTACAAAATATACAGTAAGTCAATAAAATGTATGGAGATGTTCTACGTAAAACAATCGAGGAAAAGAAAACTCATCTACAAAATATACAGTAAGTGGAGGTAAAGGAATGTCCTGGTTAACAAAAATCAATTTGAAAATATTGCATATGATGTGGAGAGGGGATTTAGCACCATCAGCAAGATAAACAATTGATAGTTTTCAGAAGGCCTGAATTAACATGAGTTATTTCCCATTAGCTGCCATATTGGAGGTCAACATCCTCATGTTCCTTCATTATTCAACTAACTTTAACTTTGCATGTTTTTCTGAGAAGTAATTATACATTTGTTATTGCCTCCTTTCTTTCATAATTTTTATTCTATAAAGATTTTCTCCCAATTTTTATGCTACACCATCTTAAATCTAGTAATACAAAAAAGGAGAAATTACTAGGTTGACCATTAGGATTGCAGCCAAGGGAAATAACTCTGGGAGAAAATATGTCATATGAGAACTAACTATGGATAAATCCCTTTAATGTTGTTTGATTTTCATTGTAGAGCCCTCTCCTCAATAAATGATGTGTCTGCTGCAACCATTACCAGTTCTAGAGGTCAGATTTGTAAAACAAGCTTCTTACTATTTTGTTAATAAAACCATTTGTTGCAAAGATAATAGATGTGTAAAAACTTAGCTTCCTATTTACCAATTATGTCAGAATATAGCAAACACACCTTGAAATGCAGCTGAATTCAAATAAATGCTTATGGTACCAGAAAATTGATATTTTCCTAAAAATTTCTCACCATTATTAGCTAACATGAGCCAAAGGCTAAAATGAGCTTATCTGATTAAGACTTGTCTACTGTCTGTTGCCTCATCATTGCTGTCAGTTTCATCTTGATCTCTAGATTCACTGGAAAAATTTCAACAAACTTGCCTCAAGGCATGCATAAAGGATGTTAAAGTTTGTTCAAGGGTCACAGCATTTCTAAAGGGGAGATAATTAAGGGATAGCTAAAATGGCATGTTTCAAGTATTATCTTTTAGAAAACCATTGAATCAGACAAGTGTAAACTTAAATACCATGTTCATTACATCAAGTCTGTTAAAATCATAGCCTTCATCATGTTCATATTACGATAATACCAGTGCAGGGGATGAACTTTATACAGAAACAGAAAGGAAAAACCTTGAAAAATGTGCTTCTCAAAAACAGCAAAGCCATTATTTGTCATATTAATATGGAATCATGTTAACTTTGGTGAAATCATCAGTCATGACCAATTACTATAAATTAAACTTTTTAGTACCAAAGTGATTATTGTTTATCCCTAACTAAAGTGTTCAGATGAGTGATGAGACCCATGGGCCATTTGTTCTTTGTTTCCTTCAAAGAAATTGGGGGAAATATTGGCATTCTATTTTGCTAGAGCTATTTTCAGTACAGTGAAAATGCCTAATCTTTTCACAGAATTGAAGGTTTTGATTGGTTTCTATTTTTAGTCCCGTCCATCCACGAGCCCCCAGACGAGGCTTTGGTGACCTGGCTCCGCGACAGGAAGTTTGACGAGGATGTTATAGACCTGGTAATTATTGTTACAGTAACGTCTTATTGTTATCACCAGTAAACTCAATAGTAGGGCTGGATCAATATATCGGTAATCGGTATATATCGATAATTTTTAGCAATACGATAACCGATACAGAGATGCTTGCGTATTGCTCGATTATTTCAACGTTTAATTAAGAGAAAGAAAAACGTCAAAGTGACTAATATTACGAACGACTTATCAAAAATCGTATAAACGCATGTAAACATGTCAAAAGTGTAGGGTTAGGGTCGCTACGTAAAAGTTAGCAGCAAAAAGGCAAAATGTAATTATATATGTCAACAAGAAGTCGCAAGTTCTAGTGAAACAAAGAGCCTATATATTATTACCCGTCTCAGCCGGCATCGCAACATTGACCTTTTTGCTACTGTGATTCTTGGAGGCAATCCGGTAGGTAAAATGAAGCGTCGAAAAAAAAAGTCATGGAATGTAAACTGATAATAAGATATCAATCAGAATTTTTAAGTCATAATTTATTTTAACTCAAAGCAATTTGGTAAATTTTTTTATCTGCCATTACTTCCACGAATACGACGTCAAGTGAAGTATCAACACAGTCAAACAGGTCAATGTTGTGATGTCTGTGGCTTCAGAACGAGTATTTAGCACCAGTGGCAACATATTTACATGCACATTAGGGCTTGTCTGAAACCTAAGTGGATCGATGCCTTTATTTTTCTGAAGAAAAGTATGGGCAAATAGCATTATTCTGTCATACACTTTTCCATTCAGAGAATAAAAAAAAAACAAGGATTTAAAATGATTTATTATTGTTTTATGCTGTAATCAAAAAATACTATCACCTCTTGAAAAAAAAAAAACATGCAAAAAATAGTGTAATTCTCATTTGTCTGTATCGGCAATTTGTATCGCATATCGCACCTCTGTATTGCAATATGTATCGTATCGAAAAATTTCTTTCAATACCCAGCCCTACTCAATAGACCTGGTAATTATTACGTCTTATTGTTATCACTAGTAAACTCGATAAACCTGGTATAACCATACATTTATTGAAAACACAATCCCATAGTTTAACTTGATTTTAATAGTTAAATGTGTTTTTTAAATATTTTACTGTAGCTACTTTTTTTGTTGTTTATTTTTAGATTACTCAGGAACAGTTTGTATTGTCGGATTTCCTCGAGATTGTTCGTTATGATGACCTTCAGAAGCTTGGACTTAGGTCAGTGTTTGAATTTTCATTGACATGTACTGAGCATTATAAACATTTAGTGATTTAAGAAGCTGATAATCTTTGAATATTCTCAGTGATAAATATTGCATTGTACAAAATCTGACAAATATTGCACTCAGTATAATAAGTGATAAATATTGCATTGTACAAAATCTGACAAATATTGCACTCAGTATAATAAGTGATAAATATTGCACCATAGGAGACCTGAAAAAATATTGCACTTTTTAGATGTGAAAATTTTCCACTATACCTGTCATAAGCTTAGAAATATTACTCTATTCAAAACCTGAAACATATTGCACTGCAAACAAAATTATAAATATTGCACTAGACCCAACCTGAAAAATATTGCACCAAAATTGTTTCTCGACTGAGATGAGATTCTTCACCATTATAAGGGTTTAAGTGATTATTTAAAATCAGGTTGAAGTATATTTAGTGTTTGGTATTATTTTACAGGGGTGGAGTTCTGTGTCGGTTATGGCGAGTGATACAAAGTCATCGGAAAGACCACGGACTTGAGAAAAAGCTGGCAGACAGGTAGCAGAGGTCAAAGGTCACCAAATCAGGTCACCAATAAGAATGATAAAGCCCCGCATCATGTGTGTCATGTTTTATCAGCCTCCCATCCCAGGTCAGTGGTCTGTGATTTTATTCTGACACCGGTATGGCATTGCCAAAGTGAAGAGGTTTGCTTGCAGCACAGGGAAGAACATATCACATGACTTTATCACATGACCTCTCATGTGCATGTCACATGACCTCTCATATAGCAGTTATGCTAGTTATTATACAGAGGATAGTTGTATTCACATGAATTCCCCGGGTTCCTTCCTTGGATGCAGTCTAGGAGAAGCAGCAGACCATCAGGTGTTTGTTTATAAACCATCAGGTGTTAACTTGTGTAACATTTTTGTAATGCTGTACTTCTTGTCAACATTGCCTTTGATAGATTTATGAAGTATGTGATGTGACTATTTCTTATCTGTGATGTTAAGTGCTGTATTAGAGTATGAGGGAGAAAGGGACAGCTTATCCTTTGATATTAACATTTCTGGTTTATTTTTTGTATTTTTGCCTGTGATTTTAACACGATTTTTAGTTATACCAAATTTTATGCCTTTTAGTTAACATTTTAGATCAGAAATTATTATACACTTGTAATTATATATTCATGTCTGAATCTTGTTTGTTTTGATATTGAGTAGCTTTAAATTTCTGTATTATATTGAGTCTTTGTTTTATTGAACTTTTATGAAAATGAGAATAAAATACTGCTTTAAATTTCTGTATTATTTGAGTCAAGGGCTTTGTTTTTATCAGTTTTGACATACGCATTAGAAACCCTCAATCTGTTGTTATTGTATAATTTCATCACTTCTGATCTAAGTAGCTGAGTTGATGATGTGGTACGCAAACTTTAACTCTATCAGTAGCTATAAAGTAGCTGTTCTAAGTAGCTAAGCTGATGATGTGTAACACAAACTTTAACTCTATCAGTAGCTATAAAGTAGCTGTTCTAAGTAGCTAAGCTGATGATGTGGTACGCAAACTTTAACTCTATCAGTAGCTATAAAGTAGCTGTTCTAAGTAGCTAAGCTGATGATGTGTAACACAAACTTTAAATCTATCAGTAGCTATAAAGTAGCAGGTCTAAGTAGCTAAGCTGATGATGTGGTACACATACCATGCATACTAAAGCTAGTCTTATAAGTGGCCATACAATTAAAAGTAGATAATCTTCATAAGTGGCCATACAATATAAAGTAGATAATCTAAGTTGATGAATTACCGGTAGGTGCTACATACATTGTTTTAATGGTGTGTTAATTTTTTTGGTTTCGCAATTGATCAAAGCAGAATGAATATGTGTTATTTTTCTGAGGGACATTATGCTATATTTACACAATACACCCCTCCCCCAATGCTAAAAAAAGGAAATATGTATTAAGTAAATATTTTTCAAAGCAGAAGCATTTAATTTGATTTATATTCTCTAAAATCAATGTCGGGAATGCTGTTTACTGGGAAATTTTTGTCAAGTTTTATTTTTCACCCTTTTAGCCCTTGTCACAATAGGTAAATTTTAAATGAGGCAAATTCAAAGAAAATGACATCATTACTTATACAGAATTGTGTTGACAAATTCAAAACAGGGCTAAATTGTTTACACGTGTGAAAAGGCGGAATAAGATTGGACGAAAATAACCCTAAACACAGTAACATGAAATGTAAATCGCAAGAATTGTAATATAATTCTGTTGATATTTAGACCTGATATTTAACCACATGGATTTAATTCAGTGATTTACTATTTGGTAGCATTTTAATTGGCCCAATGATTAACCAAAGGGCTTTAAACCAGTGATTTAATTTACTATTTGGTAACATTTTATAGGCCTAATGATGAGCCGCAATGTTTTAATTCAGTGATTTATTACTTGTTAGCTCTCATATGAAGCAAATTTTAAATGTGTTATTTTTGAAAGTATATCCCTTGGATATTGATTTATAGCCGGTCTTTGTTTTATTGAACTTTTATGAAAATGAGAATAAAATACTGTTGTTTTTGATCATGATTTTTTGTTTTACATTTTCTTACTGTGTTACATGTAAAGGTTGCCAGTGGCTGTATTAATTTTCTGTGTCAAGCCGAGTGGTCACACACACCAGGAAAAGAAACCTTAATCAGTTTGAAAAATCACATGCATTAAATTAATCAAATTTATACAGATTTTAAACTTGAAGCTGAATATCTTGCTGTTTGATGTTGATGAGGTTGAACTATATTATCCTAATCTTGTAAACTTAAGGATATATGTCTTTATGATAAAATGTGAGAGCTCACTGAAGATAGTCCGCTTCACTCTGCTGCTACACCCAAACGTTATACAAGATCACAGAATTAAAACTGGCAAAGTAAATTCATAACAAACAAATAATGCATTATAAAGCACATTAAAATTATTCATTTCATTGCACAAAATGTTAGAATATATGGTAATAAATTATATATTACACCGTATGTGGCTGTAAATGTAAATATGGTTGCATTACAATATATGTTACTGTATATACTTAGAATACATTGTACGTGGCTAGTATGATTACATTACACTGTATGTATATGGTTACATTACATTATATGTGACTGTATATGGTTACATTACATTGTATGTAACTGTTTATAATTACATTACATTATATGTATGTATATGGTTACATTACATTATATGTGACTGTATATGGTTACATTACATTGTATGTGACTGTATATGGTTACATTACATTATATGTAACTGTTTATAGTTATATTACATTGTGTGTGACTGTATATGGTTACATTACATTGTATGTGACTGTATATGGTTACATTACATTGTGTGTGACTGTATATGGTTACATTACATTGTATGTGACTGTATATGGTTACATTACATTGTGTGTGACTGTATATGGTTACATTACATTGTATGTGACTGTATATGATTACATTACATTGTATATGTATGTATTTGGTTACATTACATTGTATGTGACTGTACATGATTACATTACATTGTATGTGTCTGTATATGGTTACATTACATTGTATGTGACTGTACATAGTTGTTCATTACATTGTATGTGACTGTACATAGTTGTTCATTACATTGTATGTGACTGTATATGACTACATTACATCGTATGTGTTTGTATATGGTTTTATTACATTGCATGTGACTGTATATGACTACATTTCATTGTATGTGTTTGTATATGGTTTTATTACATTGTATGTGACTGTACATGATTACATTAAATTGTATGTGACTGTATATGGTTACATTACATTGTATGTGACTGTGCATAGTTGTTCATTACATTGTATGTGACTGTACATAGTTGTTCATTACATTGTATGTGACTGTACATAGTTGTTCATTACATTGTATGTGACTGTGTATGGTTACATTACATTATACATTACATTATACATGACCCTCGAACCAAACTGTCCACCTTCGGCCTGTCGGACAAAACGCATGTTTCCCTCGAACTCAGTCGATATAAAATGTATAATATAATATTATTGATGAGTATAATATTACACCATGCAATTATGCCTTCACCAGAGGAGGTTCTTTTGAATGTGGGAATTTGAACGAAATTTGGATGATGGACCACATCTTGCTGCAAAGTAATTTCACCTAGCTTTTAATAAACATTTTAATTATAGGATGATTAACATTTCACAAATACAACGAATACTTGTATCAAGGACAATGATGTAATTGTGCTGCCTAAACTATATGTCCTATTCAATTCAAATACATGTTTTTACCTTTACGCTATGTCTTTTATAGCTACACGTTTTTTCAGCGCACATCTTCTTTGCCAAAATTCAAATTTTGGCCCAAATTTTTTGCAAACCACCACTATACTCTGTAAAGCGCTTTCCAGCAGACGAATTGCCTAACAAGGTTATCATGACACTGAAACTGACCTAAATTCTGGGTGGATCACAAATTTGATGAAGACGAGATTTAAATAAAGACTGTACTATTACATATCATAAAGAGTATATGCTTATTTTTTTTTTATTCATTTATTATACCCCCCGCTTGGAAAGCGGGAGGGTATATAGTGATCGGGATTTCCGTCCGTCTGTACGTCTGTCCGTCCGTCCGTCCGTCCGTCTGTCCGTCCGTCCGTCCGTCTGTCCGTCCGTCCGTCCGTCTGTCTGTCGTCCGAATAGATTTTATTTTTTTTCATATTCTTTTAAATATTTCATGTATTTAAAGAAAATTCTTGCTTACATCTGTTACGCTTTTTCTCTTATCCGCAACTCCTCTTAAACTACTGAGTGAAATTTAATGAAACTTTCACAGAATCTTTATTACATATTGCCATTGTGCACCTCCTATTTTATTTTTTTATTCGACACGTATTTTACGTTTCCCAGAGCAAAACATGGACATTGCCATTTTTTGTTTACCTATGACGTCACATAATAGAAGCTTCTGGATAACATTTGATTGGACGAGTTATTCCTCTTTACTCATTACCGTAAAACAATATATAGCAACACATCGACATTATGGGAGGCGGGGGGTATCATTTAGTGAGCTCATTGCTCACAGTACCTCTAGTTTATATTTAAAAGGAAATCATTGTAAAATACCTAATACCTTAATCTTTCAATTAAAAAAGTACAACGCCTCATCTCAACACTAATCTTTCTACATATTCTTGTTTTTTCCCATAAACTCAATTGTAGGAAAATTGCAATCATACATTAAATGTTTTAGAAAATTTTTGAAAGTAACATTACAAAATGTTGCAGCACTGAATGACAAATGAAAATGGAGTCTTTAAAAAGGGGTGCACATGAAATTAAATGTTCTAAAAAACATTCTCACAACAAACTCTGAAAATTACTAAATAACTTAAATGTCGCCGCAAGCATATAAATCTTTTAGAAACATTTTGAAAATGTTTCAAACTTTCCAAAGAATTTTGTAAAAACTATAATTAAAATGTTTCAGTTGTGGTAAAAAAAAAAAATTAAAAAAAGATTATTTAATGTTTTCAAAACATTTTCACTACATACAATGACATAGGTCTAAAATATTTAAATGTTTAACTAAAAGTGTTATTAAGAATGTTTTAAAAACATTTTAAAAATGCCCCTTCCAAATGTTTCAGAAACGTAATATTCGATGTTTCAGATTTACAGAAAAGGAATGTTTAATTTCATGTTTTAAGAATGTTTTTAAAACGTAATAAAAAAATCTTTAATATTTGAAAGCTAAACTGAACATACCTTTTGAATCATTTAAAAAAAAACATTTCAAAAACACTTTAGAAAAATGTTTATTAAACAATATTAAGAATGTTTTAAAAACATTTAGAGAATGTCCCTTCCAAATGTATCAGAAAAATAATGCAATGTTTCCGATTTATGGAAAAAGGAATGTTTCATTTTATGTTTATAGAACGCTTTAAAACGTAATATTTCTTTTTCAAATATTTGAAATCTAAACATACCCTTTGAATCATTATTAAAACATTTCAAAAACATTTTGGAAAATAAGGATTTTACCTTACATTAATTTTAACTGAAGAAAAAAATTAGATTGCGGTAATTTTTTAACCTTAATTTCCCCAAAGAAATATGTCTCTGAATAAATTAATTCTTTTTTGCGAGATCATGAATATAAATAATATGAGTGGACAAAATAATGAAATGTCTAACGCTGAGGATAATTATAAATATTTGAACTGTGTGCTAAATGTAAAAACAAGGGTTAAGACCCTTAAGGTCTTAAAACAACGTGTTTTTCACGAATAACTTATAGAACGTGTTAACTAAATATTGTACTGGTTTTCTGCTCCTTAATCTGCTGCGATAAAGTATATGCTAGAGTACCAGTCTAATTGTGATCGAATAATATCCGACTGAGTTACTAAACGTCTTTTTCTGACGTTCTTCCATTTAAATCCCAGTCCCTTTGAAAGTTTAGTTTATTTTGTAGAAATGTCAGAAAGGAAGGTTTTGAACGTAAGTATAACAATACCCTGGTGTACAGTTATTTTCTATTGATTAGTTTACAATAAGTTTGCTTAACATGTTTTTTTATTTGTAACAGAAATACTATCCCCCAGATTTCGACCCCTCGAACATTCCGAAGATGAAAACACAGAAAAACCGACCGTTTAACATCAGAATAATGGCACCAATGAATATGAGGTATGTCACTATCCTGTAGATTAAATAAAGGATATATATTTCTAAAATCGTGCATCCACACTGATAATCAACTTGAGCGAGTATCTAAGGTTAGAAACTCTGTAGGGCAATTATATAGGCACACCGGGTATGAATGGTTCTTCCCTGTGTGGCGGTCAGACAGGTCTGATCACTGTTGGTTAGATAACTCAATGGGTAGAAATACATACAGACTGTAAATTAGGGGGCATGAGTTGGGTTAGATAGAACGTTCTATCGTTAAAATAATATTGTCCAAAGGACCCGGTTTAACAATAGAATTTGTTCCTTGTATTCGTAATGTAGCAAAAGAAACATGGGCAATAACTCATACTCAGTGCATTTACTTCGTACAATCCAGAGAGTTGCAAATGTAAACATGGCAGGTAAATTTGAAGGGAGAGAAAAACGTTGAGAAAATTAATTGGATTTTCGTCTTTATATGGATTATTTTTGGGGATAAAAGGCATATGCAATCTCAAAAAGGTTTGTTTTGATTAATTTAGTAGTTATTTCCAGTGCAAATCCTTTTATATTCTTCAAAAGCATTTCAAAGCGGATCCGCTTCCATTTACTACATTACGAGTACATGGGACGTATTCTAACTGTGGTGAGGGCTTGTACCGAGACACAGTTAGATTATTCTAACTAGGGTTGTATTCCTGGTCTGGTCTGCTGCATTTTCCCTTCTGTTGCCAGTGATTTTTTAGGGCCGATTTGGGGCCGAAATTCAGCCCCAGTCCCAATTGAAAATATGCCTGTATTTTCCCAAATTGTAGTGGAAGTTTTCCCAAAGAAAAACTTACGAAATATGTGATCAAATTCAGTTTGTTTATTGCATGTTTTTCAGTGAAGTTGAAGCAGATCTGGTTCTTCAGCCATGTTGGATTTTCTTCATAATTAGATAATTCATACCACTATTGTTCTTGATGCAAGTAATTAGATAATTCATATCAAGAATAGTCTTGATTTGTTAAAAAATTGTTTGTTAAAGTAATACAAAGACAAAAACAAAGCTTTTTGACAATGCTTTTTAAGTGACTTGGTTTTCTTGTAGATTCCCAATTTAGCCTAATTGACGCTGAAATTCCCAATTCTAAGGGCCCCAGCCCCCAGTCCCAAAGTACTGAAAAAAACACTGGTTGCTCCTGCATTATATCATTGTAATTTGTATGGGCTTGTCCCGAGTCACAGTTATGTAGCAGATTTGTAAAAGTTGATTGTAAGATTTTTTATGCAATGCCTACCTGTTATTATTTTTCATTTAGCTGTTATTAAAGGCTCATCTATTTGTAAGCAGGCTAAGTTTATAAAATATTGGTTTTGGTAAAACTGAAAATTGAATGTTATTTATTACACCCCCCCCCCCCCCCCCCCCCCCCCCCCAGTGAATGCTCACTATATTATATAAGTGAGCAGGATCAGACAGAATTGATTTAGACAGGATAGTTTGAATTTAGCATGATTAGAATTTTATATATTTCATTTGGATTATTTTAATATTATTTCTTACCTGTAATGTGGATAAAATGTAAATATTGCATGTAGATACTGAGATATGTAAATAAACATGATAGATTAGTGAACTTTTATTCTAACTGTTACTATGGTTATTCTGACTGTGTCTATGGTTACAGGTGTGATAACTGCGGGGAGTACATCTATAAAGGGAAGAAGTTTAACTCGCGTAAGGAAGATGTGGAGGATGAGTTTTTCCTGGGACTCCGAATCTTCAGATTCTACATCAAGTGTCCACGATGTGTGTCAGAAATCGCATTTAAGGTAAATAAAACAGAATTAACAGTGTGTCAGAAATCGCATTTAAGGTAAATAGAGCAGATTTTACATCAAGCTTAAGTGTCCACAATGTGCGTAAAAAATTTGCATTTAAGGTAAATAGAGCAGATTTTACATCAAGTTCCATAATGTGTGTCAGAAATCGCATTTAAGGTAAATAGAGCAGATTTTACATCAAGTTCCACAATGTGTGTCAGAAATCGCATTTAAGGTAAATAGAGCAGATTTTACATTAAGTGTCCACGATGTGCGTCAAAAATCACATTTAAGGTAATAGAACAGATTTTACATCAAGTGACCACAATGTGTGTCAGAAATCGCATTTAAGGTAATAGAGCAAATTTTATATCAAGTGTCCACCCTTTGTGTCAGACAGAAATGCATTTAATGGATAAAAATTATAGCAGATCTTACCTCAACTCTTGATTCTGTAAATTTTTTTTTATTTTCGTTTAGACTTCAAAGTATCAAGAGCCCTGTATGTCATAAGTCTTTATGTAAATATTGTTTATATTATGTGGATAATGAATTAATGATTTATTAACACTAATCATGCCTATAATAAAAGAATGAGATAAAAAACCTAATGATTGAGTTTATTGTAGACTGACTTGGAGAACACAGACTACACACTGGAGGCGGGTGCTACGCGACTCTTCGAGGCGGAGAAATTAGCCAGGCAAATGGCGGAAAAAGAAATCAAAGACAAAGAAGATGAGGAACTAAACAACCCAATGAAGGTGTGTATTACATCACAGAATCCTGTGTATTACAGCAAGATGTGTAATACATCAGAGATATGTGTGTATCACATCAAAATGTGTATTACGTCACAGATACTTGTGTATTACATCAAGGTGTGTACAGTAAAACTCACTTTTGACAAAGTGTCAGGGATGAATGGATTTCCTTCGTTATAAGCATTATTTGTTTTATCCTTCAAGTTCACCATATGTTTTATATGCATTCATGGGAAATAAAAATCACTTCTCTTTGTTCACCATAAGCATCAATTCATTATAATATGCATTATATTAAGTGTGTTTTGCTGTATGTAACATGGAAAAATTTATTTATATAAATTGTGCATGTATTTGTAGGGTGTCATTCAAGCATTGGATAGATTTCTATACTCAAAAAGACCACACATATATGCATTTTTATGCAGTTAACTTTGATGTAGTTAATTTTTTTATGTCACAGTAGTTATCTTCAGAGCAATTCATGATCAGTTAAACATGTGAACACAATGGTAAAAGTAACTGTCATTTTGCAAATTTATTTAGTAAAACATTTTTTAAGCATCCATCATAAGTGTGTTGCATTGACTGTACAGAAATTTGATCTAATTTTAGATTCTAGAAAAAAATCTTGTGTTGATGTCAAGGATATCTGATCTATTTTTAGGTTCTGGAGAACAGAACAAAGGCAAGCAGGAAAGAGATAGAAGAAATTGACACGCTGGAAGAATTACGGGACATGAATGCACGTCACGCTAAAGTCAATCATGAAGATATGCTGAAATTTCACGCTGAGTATGAAAAACAACTTAAAAGGCTACAAGAAGAGGAGGAGGAGAAAGAAATCAGGTCAGAGGTCACAGGGGGTCAGATCAGGGCAGGGGTCACAAGGGGTCAGAAAGAGTGAAAATTCAGCTCAGAGGTCACAAGGGGTCAGAAAGAGAGAGAGATAGAGATTTTGTCAGAGGTCTTGGGATCTAACAGATATTTATACAAGGGTCAGGGGGATGAAAGAGAAAAAATCAAGGCATGGGTTTAACACAGGGTCCAAGGGATATAGTAGAGTAATATGAGAGAGGAGAAATAAATCGGGTCAAAAGTCTTAAGAGTTGAAAATGAGGAAAGGGGGGTTGAAGAAAAAGTGTTTTTTAATTGATTTCATTAGACAATTAATATGTAAACCGTTATTTACCCCTTTTTCCAAGGCTGACCTTTAATCTTATATTTCTAGGCCTAACCTTTAAATTTATTTTTGTATGACTAACATTTATCATTGTATTTATATGGCTGACCATTAGAATTCTATTTTTAGGGCTGTTTTTGGCGAGTTGAACGGTCAGAGCATTAAGAGACTTCATGACGAGGACAGTGAGGGGCCACCAGCTAAGAGGGGACCAGTCAATGCTGCGAAAGCTACCGATATATTAACGCTTGTAAGTACCAGAGAAAACCCTAACCCTGACACAATAATGAAAGATAATTTTAAAAAAACAGATACAGAAACTAATATTATAATTTGATTGCAAAGAATGTGAAATGGAAAACTTTGCAATGTATTCCACTTTTATTTTAATCATTATTTACATTTTATGTAGGATGGAGAGGGAACCAGTAAACAGAGCACCAGTAAAACAACTAAACCCGCCGCGTGGGAGAGAAGTATAGGATCTGTTGGCAGCAAGGCTTCACTGATGAAACTGGTTAAAAGTAACAGGAAAAAGGGAAATATCATAACAGCTAACACATCAGACAGCAGTCTAAAGGGAGATAACTCTGCTGAATCAAAGGAAGAAAAAAGGACTGGAGAGAAATCAGACTGTGGTCAGAGACTGGGAAAAGAATCAGAACAAGTGAAAGGGACAGGTCAAACGGAACGAGAGAACGAGGCGACAGGTCACAAAGAGGCTAAAAACAATTCAAAGGATTCCACTACAACATCAGGCTCCTCTCAGACAGGAAGTAGCTCAGCACTAGGCATGCTGGGTAATTACTCAGACAGTGATGACAGTGACACCTAGTGACAGGAGATTGATGCAGTGAAAACAGACAGAAAGTTCCTCAGCACTAAGCATGCTGGGTAATTAGACGGTGACTCCTAGTGAAAGGATATTAATTTAGTGATTTATAAAATCAACA